CATTGCAGTTACACAGGTCAAAGTGCCATTTTGACTCTTCTGTTTACTAATAGAAACCCATACACAACAAGTTGTTTTCTGCTGTAGAAGTCAGAGAGCAAGGGTGCATTTTCTTTTCCTTTTGCTGTTGATCGTGCAGCCTTAGTTATGTATTTTTGTAACTGGTGGCCCCACAATGGGTAGCCCTTTAAACAGCTTATCGTTATCTGGCAGCTCATCATCATCTAGCATTCACAGAATGGTGGCTTGAGCCTTAGCTGGCCTTTTGGGAACTTTCCCCTGCAAGGAAAGAGGGAGATATGTTACTAGGATTTGAATTAAACCAGCAATCTCCTTTCCTGTGGATTTAAAAGTGATAAAATAGGAATATGTAGGAGAAGGAAGGTATTAATTTTAAGGTCAGTGCCTGACTGTTGCGTTTTACTGGCCAGCACCTCTCTTAATTGCAGAAAATGGCTTACTTGGATATCCAATGTAGAAAGCAGATGAATGTGCATCCTTATTTTCCTCCCCTGGGAAGGTCATAGTGTCTCTGAGGCGAATAACAAACCCTGCCAGTGTATGGTCAGCAGATGCTTTCTGCACTGTGACTGCAGAGAGGAGTGAACTGCTGCCATTAATGACTGTCGGGGCTGTTTTTTCACTTTACTTATTTCACCCTTTATTATGAGTGTTGGTTAATGTGTTTTTCATCTCTTTTGTGTCTGCTCAGCAGCTGATGCCTCTCAAAGCAGGGACAAACTATCTTAAAGAATAAAAATGGAAACAGATTTTATTTGCATTGCTGACATCTGTGTCTTACCATTTTTAGTGTCTTTGCCGCACTACGTAGCCAACAGGTTGCAAGAAGACTTGTAGTGACATGGGCAAAAGGGATGCATCTGGTTAGAGATGAACTGTAGCTGTTCACAGGGTAAATAGCTCTAATTCAGGATTTTGCTGGAATTATCCAACTTAAGCATCAAGATGAAGGCTGTTTTATGAATTGACAACTATCATAATGATTAACTTGTTTTAATTGACCCTGGGGTCATTCTGGGTTTTTTTGGTTGTTTCATTTTTTTTTTTTTCTTGTATCATGTTATTACATCTTTATCTCTCCAAATTAATAAACTTTTAAAAAATATCTATTTTCTGTGCTGCCCTCGGAGTAAGTTGTCCCTCATATCAAGAAGGTTCATGCAGGAAGGATAACTTACTGATCCAAGGAAATGGACAGCAGAGTGCTATGAGCATTGGCAGAAATTTTGCCTTGCAGGCAAATGTGTGTTGCAGGTTTGTGTCACAGCTGTTGTCACCAGGCTGACCTTGTCTCATAGGAGATGACATTTAGCCTAATTTTCTCCCAGACTCTAGAGTGACCAGGTTCAATTTTAGAGCAGAAGTGGGTAAATGTGCTGCTCAGACTTATGGCTGGCCATATGTCGAAGAGCGGTCTGATTTCCTCTCATCTTACACTGAACCATTCCCCAGTAGCTGGCAAAGGCCAGTGTGGAGGTTTGATTTGCTGAGATGGGCAATTGTTGCTTTTGAGAGAACAGAGAGAGGCTCTGTTAGCTACAGGAAGCCAACAACTCTTCACAAAAGACCAGTGATGTTCTGGACTGAACTCTAGCTGGTGCTAATTTCAGCTCTTAAGGGAAGTCTTAATTATCATATGGGACCAGAATATTTTTAGGAAAAAAAATGAAGATTTTTTTTCCCCAGCTTTTGTCTCTTTGCTGAAGACACCAGTAGATAAGAGAGACAACCCTAGTCCTTCAGGGAGTGTTTCCAAGAGCAGAGTAAAAGAAGATAGATATGATAATGATATTTAGTGTTTGGTGGTCTTAGGGCTCTCACATACTGTGATTTTTCCTCTAATACAGTGCATTTTATGGCACACCTGCTATAAAACAGGTTTAGTACATGCCAAACCCAGCATGATTTCAGCCTCAGCACTATAGTGAAACAACAACAGTAAACTTCTTGCCCAAAATTACACATGCTTGAAAAAATCTGTCCTGTAGAGTACCTTTATGTGTCCTGATTCTCAATACAGAACCACAGAATCATAGACTCATTAAGGTTGGAAATTACTTCCAAGTTCTTTAAGTCCAACCTTTGACAAAACACCACCATGCCAACTAAACCATGGCACTGAGTGCCACATCCAGTGGTTTCCTGAACATTTCAATTCTCAGAATTTGTAGCTTTAAGTACCCACACAGGGGTCAAACTCAGAACCTTGGTGTTATGAGCACTATGCTCTAACCACCTCAGATAATCACATGCATCAAGTACTCAGAAAAAAAACCCAAAAACCTATCTTCATTTAAAGAAGTGAAAATAATTTTTTAGCTTAATTTTATTAACTGGTTTGCAGCGAACTTATGTTATAATGATAGGAACATAAATATATAAATAAAAAATGTCTCCTGGATGTTAGCATATAGAAAGGAATGTTTTGTAGTGATAAGAACTGGTCCCTGAGACTGATCAGAGTTGTGTTTCTGTCTCCACCAGAATTACCATGAACTCTAGTAGATCATTGAGTTTAATTGATTTGATTAAATAGAGTAGAACTTGTGTATCTCAATTGCATTTTTCCCAGACAAAAATTTAGACCTGTTTTTGTCATATTTTCATTTTCTAGATCTGTATGCCTAATTTTTTTTTTTCCCATGGATTTATTACAGAATAAATTAATTTGGAGGTACTCTCATGCGACATTTATTTGATTTCCATTTGAAAGATCAAAACACACTTTTGAGCCACAGCCTGGATTCTTAGTATGAAAAAATGTTTCTCCTGGTTGAAAAGACATGGTTTTGCACACTAATGGAGCCTGAGATTCTATTTCTGGTACATATTAACTACATTTTCTGAGAACAAACTAATTTGTGTAATTACTCCAAATTCCTTCCACAGCTAGAAGCCTGTACAACTCCCTACTGATAGTATTTTCAGTATTATTTCCATAACCATGCACTTAATTCCAGTTATGACTTTTACAGGAATACTACTTCAATAATTCTCTTTAGAGTGTATTTTATTGCTCATAAGGTTTTAGATCATCCATACAGTTTGATTTTTAGCTTTGTTATTTGCTAACTGGAGTCTCTCTTTGTTTACTTCTTATTCGTATATACAAAAGGACCTGAAAGGCTTAAGCAGTTCCATGATCCTGAAGAGGGGGAAATTCTACTGACTGAAATAAAAAAAATCGCAAGTCAAGAGAGCTTAAAGTAGCTAAGATATAGGAAGTAAATAGGTGTAGAAAAGGAGGATAAAATGGAGAAAATGAGCCGGGATTTCAGGAAAAACAAAGAAGGATATAGTCTCTCTGAAATCAAATTAACTTAGGATATTGGTGGCTAAAATGTACATGAGTGCAAAGCAGAAATTGAAACAATCTCCTTTTCACTGATACTTGATCTGTGTCCCAAATTCTGGATAGTCACAAGAAATGCTGGTCCAGGGGTGATGGGTCATACACCTGCTGTCAGACACACCTTGGTGTAGCTTGGGTTGAGTCAGCCCCAGAGCCTCTTACCAATGTGAGACAAGGAGTCAAACGCTGCCTCTGTGGCACCAGTTTCCCTTCAGACGTCTGAGCAGAGGGGTGCCCACAGTGGACAGCATGGTGGTTACTCTGCAGGTCAGCGTGGTGAAGGACTTCCTTTGACAGGCTGAGATCAAGCACTGTGAGCAGCTGTGCTCTAACAAACAGCCTCCTGTACTCTCTTAAGGAGTGCACCTCAAACCAGAGGCACCCATGCATTGGAGCTGCTTTCAACAGTAGTTTCCACATCTTGTAGAAAACAGAACAGGGTTTCCTGATCAAAACACACAACTACCAATATAGCCTACATATTTTCTTACCTTTAGTCCGATCCTCATTATTTATTTTTTTTTTTAGTATTTGAAAAATAAAATCCAAAAGCATTTAATGTCAGATGTCTAAAATCACTGTGCTGTGCCACTTGCAAGTGACTGATGGCTTCTGAAACAGCTGTAATTGTAATCTCTTTCCCTCCCTCTGGTAAATGGACATAAATATTCAGAGGGCTGGGTACATTAGGCTAGGTAGATTATTCATTAATTTGCTGGAAGAAGTATTTGCAAGTAAATGCTATTAAAAAATAAAAGTACTGAAAATCTCCTTCATAGTTCTTTAACCAGTGTTAGTACATTACAGCATAGATAAATTTGGTGAGACACTGATAGGTAAGTTATTCTGAAGAGTAGATGTCAGTGAGAATTTAAGGGATGTTTGAATTGTTTTTTGTTTTTCTAATTTTGCATACAAATATTGTGCAATACTGAATAAATGTATTGCATGTGTAGTAGGGCTTATCAGTGAAAGCCCTACTACAGTGAAACCAGGGGGGAAATTTTTGAGTAGAGTCAGCTGGATTTAATAGAAAGGTATACATTTTATTTGCAGAAGAGAAGAGGCAAATATTCATTTTCATTGTATTCCTTTACTCCTTAGTTATTCTTAGAGGTTCCATTAGCTTTGGAGTGCTAGTGACTACTTTTCCTTTGGTCGTTTTTTTCAACCAAGCATTGTTATTATTTTGTTAGCATACCTTTCTCCTTAGAAGAAGGAAATTGCCTTACCCTCAGAGCAGATGCAGAGCATCCTGTCTGATCTAGTCATGTGCAGAGCAGATGCTGAGTCTAAGCCCCCTACTTCCAACTCTTTGTCTAGTCAGCGAAGAAAGATGAGCACTTCTGGAGTAATTTGTCTCTGAAATCCATCTCAGGATGTCAGGCGTTTCTCACTGAGATTGTGAAATTCACCATTTGGTGTACAGTGTCAAGATGATGGTGTTTGTCTAAGTACCAAACCAAGGCTCAAAGAAGAGGGGATGAACCCCCACATGAGTGATAGTGAGTTCTGGGTGCCATGCCAATGGCTTGGGAAAGTGTTTATGAAAAAGCCGTCCTTGACAGGATGAAGTGTGATGCTGTGGAATGTCCCATGGATTTACAGTCTCGATTTCCAATTTCAGGGAGGAGAACATTGCTATTATCAGGGAAAAATTCGAGGAAATTCTGTATCATTTGTTGCCTTGTCAACATGCCATGGATTACAGTAAGTCTGCTGTTTTGTTTTTACTGACCTTTGTTTATCACTCTTTTAAGGAAAATCAAGTTGCTTATAGTAAAATAATACATATATATAGCAAAAAAAAAAAATGCTGTTTATTTTCCTACTGCTTTGTCACCAATATTAAGTAATCAAAAATCTTCAGAATTTACTTTTTTTTTTTTTTTTTCCCCTAAACTCAGGACTAATGGCAGTGGCCAGGCATTGTTTTAAGATAACTTATTATAGAGATGACAGAGTAGAAGTAGCTGAAAATATCCTATTCTACAAAAATAAAAACAATGCCAATGAATTATTTGGAAATTGTGTCCTTTTCTTGTTGCTATAATGATGTATATGCTTTATTTCTTTTCTAGTATCTTTACAAAGAAAATGTCACTTTAGAATTTATCTTGTGTTATCCATTTTTGTTAACAGAATTTCTGGCCTTAAGCTATGTGTATGCATATAGTAAAATCTTGAAAAATCTAGAAGAAAAGGTATGAGGGTGCAATAATTTTTATTTGAAGTACATAATTTTACTTATAAATAAAGCCTCTGTCAAGTGAAGGTTACATAAAGCTGTGTATGGGTTGTACAGCTTTTGGACCTGTCTACTTTTGGTGCTATTGAATGATGCTAGTCGGGTTTTCAGATCAACCAAGTGCCTGTCACATCTGGGAATTACAGGATCTCAGCACTACTAATACTGACATCAGCTTGCAAAGTCATGGCACCAAGTGGGCCTGTGTGGAAATCATGTGAGCTTTACCTTTTTCTGTGGAAGCAGGGTTTAGCTGATGGAAATCTTCTTCAGCCTATTGTCTATTTGCAATAGTTCTGTAGTTCTGGTATCAGTCATATAAGTACTTTCATTTGAGTAGTCTTTTATAGTTGTATATTCTTTAGTATGAAGGGGAGAACGCCTGCAGAAGACTTGTCATCCTTGCACTTGTCTGATTTACAGCTGTGCAGCTCAAGAAACTTGAGCCCAGTTTGAAGCATGGACAGTAAGCCTAAAAATAGTAGCTTCCTAATGCATCCTGAGGCACTGCATGGCTTCCATTAGCAGTGGTCCATTAGGTCTTGGCCCCTGCTAACTCCTAGGAGAAAAAGCAGGAACAAAGGAGAGCCTGCATATGTCTTTCCCTGCCCTCTTTCTGTGAGTTTATGCTTAAAACTGACTGTTCTGCTGCTCTGTATTCTTCAATGGCCTGATATGCAAATTAGTCCCTTCTAAAGTTACATGACAGATGATGCATTTTTTTCATTGTATAATTCAGCTCTCTCTTGAAAGCTATCTCCCTGTCTCCTCTCCCCACCCTCCCCTCCATTTTTTTCCCTTGATATAATAAAGTTTGAGCTGAGTTCTTTGACACAAGCTTACTCCAATCAGGCTGGTATTTCAAACATCCAGTATGAGAAAGTAATGTTTCCTGAGCTGTATTAAACTCATATTCTCTGCCACTGCATTTCCATCATTGCAACTAGCTCCTACACAGCTGATTTTAAATGATAATTATTAGAAACTCATACTGGCAATCAGAGCTCCTTAGCTTCAACCACACTTTGGAATATCTTGCTGGAATAAGGGTAGCTGGGCAGAGTTGTCTTCTGCAAGGTCTTCGGGGCAGGAGCTTTGCTTTCATGAATTTTAGGAAGTACACAAGACAAAACAGATGCCTTTAAGAGAACAACAAGCTTCATATTTCTAAAGGTCATGCCAGTCTCCTCTTTTGCGTATTAGTACCTCTAGATTTCAGCCAGCAGAATTATTCATACATGTGAAAAATAGTTTGGGTTTTTAATCAGAAGTTATGAGTCCTTGTTTTAGTAATGTCTGCTTTGCGTCCTTCCTTTTATTAGTTAAATCAATCACATCTGGCCGACAGAATGCCTGAAATTATGCATGTCTTCTTAATGACTTGGCTAATGACAAACGTATCTCTGCCGCCTCAACTTCAAGCAAGCCATTTTGCTTGGACTTTTGTTTGTTTTCTGTGGATATGGAGTAACGACGGTTTGCTATGAGTTAACCCGGGGAGGACTGGCTGCAGAGGCCAGCTGGGGTGCGGGTGAGCTGTGGCGAGGCGCGGCTCGCAGCCCGGGCTGGCGGCGAGGCGGCGGGCACGGCTGGGATCCTGCTGCCGGCTGCTGGTGGATGCGGAAACTGCCGTCGCGGCTGTGAATTCCACTGTCACGGCTACAAACCTGATTGTCTGAAGAATACGCATCATCAAAATGCAGGCTTTTGAAATGTTTTGCTTTCTCTTTAACACACCCATGGGCGTGTGGTTTCTTCAGAGCACACTGGGTCTATGGTAGCTGGTGGGAAAAGAGCCACGAATGCTTTGAGGGGGCAGCTCAGGTCTGTAGGTCAGCTGTGACTATTATTCTTGTCACTGCTGAGTGACCTGATCAGAGGTCAGTGCTGCTGGAGCAGCAGTCTCACAGGAAGCTCCTTGCTGACAGTGCTTCACCTTGCAGACCCTGCTTAACTAAAGTTGCAATTAGAGGGAGGGAAACTGATAAAAAGCTACAGGATCTTCCCCAGTCTCCTTATTTCCAAGCAAAGAAGCTCCAGTAGATGCTAGAATATTTTGCTTAGACTGTATAGACAGTATTTCCAAAGTATTTCCAAAGAACAGGCATGTGTAATTTGAAAGATGAAGCAGCTTTACATTGTAGTTATGCTCGTACTTGATATATGTTATACAGTCAGTAACCCAGGTTACTTCTGTGAATGTCAGTTTTGCTGATAAAAAAAAATGCTGCATAAGAAAAAAGAAAAGGATCTGCTTTTGTTCCTTGTAATTCTTGTTTGCTTTGGGTGTTTTTAACAGTAACATAAGTAAATAAATAATCTCGCTTTCATGCTGTTGTTATGTGCAATGTGCCAAATTTGAATTTACAGCTCGTATTTAGGGCCAAGCTTAAACACTGTAGTAGTGGCCCTTTGAAAGTGACATGATGATACAGCCTAATCCCAAACATGTGTGTATGCCACTGCAGTAAACGAAAAGTTACTTAAAAATATTCTGGTTTGGTTGAAGATCAGAATGTATTGATGTAAGAAATAACATTTGTTTTTCTGCTCTTTGTATATTTGTATCAACACTTTCTTTAAATGAAATGCTAAGGAAAAAGTTAATAAAAAACCCATTAAAACCTAAGGATAATTCAATTCAATTAAATATCATTTTTATTTGGGGAAAGCTATACATATTTTCCAAAAATGAGTTCCTAAAGACAGGTCCCTTATTTATCTGTTGCAGGTAGATATCTCCTGCATGGGAATGGGGGCTTTGAACTGGATTTTCAGTTGGTTAAATTAGCCCATTTTGTGTTTATATGTGTTGTAGAGAAGGTTTGTGGAAGAAAGAATAGTCTGCTTCACCACAGGAGAAAATCTTTCTTTCTAAAGTGAGGAAATAAAAAGATTGATCCAGAATTGCATTCAGTTCCTGAAACATTTTAAACTCTTCCTTTCCCAAATATTTAAAATTTTAAAGTATATTAACTTTTATAAGTTACTTCCATGTTGCACTAGTGTTTGTTTATTAAATCTGTATTTACCTTTCCTGCTCTTGACAGTGGGATGTTCTATGATGGAAATCATACTTACCTTATTGAACCAGATGAAAACTACACTTCAGATGTAAGTAGAACTTACAGTAGTCCTGCTGTGTTTTTTTTGAGTACAGTCATCCATGGGTACAGGGTAGGCATAAGGTTGTGGGACCAAAGGGTCATCCTCTCATTCCTAACTCATTTACCTTGAATGTGAGACTCCCATCTTCACAGACAAAAGCAGACCTGCAAAAATTAGACAGTGATGTGTCTGTATGTGTGTGCTCTGTAGCTCTTGGCTGTAGAGCATGGCAGCACTAGAGGAGGGTCCCTTGGAGCCTCTGAGTGCCCAGTCCCCTTCCCTGGCATTTCCTGCTCTGGGTTTATTATATCACTCTCCTGCTGGTTTATCCTTGACTCCAGTTCAGCAGCTCCTGGGACTTCCGTTGACTTTCCCTGAGCAGCTCTGGGAGCCTAATTTAGGCCTAGCTCTGTGTGCTCAGCCACTGTGTTTGAGGTACTCAGATATAAAAGGTGGTTAAATGTGGCATTAGCCATCACATTGCAGTTGGGAAAAGAAGAATGTAGAGTAATGGTGCCTGGCAACTTGCATGTTCTCTGGGGTATGTGCTGGGTAACAAGAATCTTTAGATTTGTCTGTTTAATGCTCATGAGATGGATTAATTTTTCCTGATATAATGTGGGCAATTATTTACTATTTCAGGATGACTTCCATTTCCACTCTGTTTACAAATCCAAGTTGTTTGAATTTCCTTCAGCCGACCTGCCGTCTGGTATGACTTTTTAGTATTCATGACTTATTGAGTGTTTTTGTCTAAGGCCAGATTTGTTGATTATATTTGATAGATCATCTTCTGAGAGTACATTGTTTTGTTATATATACCTTCTTTACCCAAGTTAAAAAAAATACTGAAAAAAACCATTTTGAAACAGTGAAAGAACAGGAAAAGAGTCTGAAGTGATGAAAAAAATCCTGAATCTAATGAATGAAATCTCTTCTAGACCTTCATGTTATGATATGTGTTTCTCTTAACAGGTCATGTTGTCTGTGGGCTGGATTATGTGCTGGTAGCTGTAGAGAGGAAAGGACTGAGGTAGCCTAGAGGTGATCAAAATAAACACCATCTTGGTGGTGGTTGATAACTCTTCATGGGTTTTTCTGGTTTTGAGATACAGGGTCAGTACCACGGAGTGAGCATAAACCTAGGAGACAAGAAATTGCCCAATGTCATTTCTGTTCAGTGACTGATCTCCAGTCCGTTCAGCATCTTTCACAGTACTGGCTATGATGAGCGCCATGCATTTCAGCACAGATGAATTTGGAGGCAGAAGTGGTTTCAAGTGCTTGTAGTGATAAATGCCTATATTGTGTGTGGAGGGAGAAAGGTTTTTTTAAAAAAATGAGTTTTCATCTGAGAGGCTGGCTTGTTAATTGAAGCTGAAATTGCAGTATTTGTGACATATCCCCATTCTGTCAAGGATTTGCCAGTTTTACAGATGTGTTTTCCTGCCCTACAATGCATATCCTAGATAAGCGTAACTGTCCTTCATAGACACAGACATTTTGGAAGAAACCACCTCCAGTCTGATTTCTTCTGGAGAGTTACAAATGTTTGGTTATCTTGTTACAAGCTATTTGTCCTATGGTAACATTTGGATGTGAGATCTTAAGGTGCTGAATACGACACGCAGATGGGTTCATCTCTGGAGCATTGTTTGTGCAGGTTTGCCAGTTGTTAAGCGAAGTAGAATCATTCAGGGAACTAATGAGAAAAGAAGGGGGGAAAAAAAAGGAAATTGCTACAATCTGGTTGACTTAATTTGTTCTGAAGAAGGAATCTGAATCCAAACAAAACCAGTGTCCCAGCTTGGTACCTCCTGTCCTGGGATGATGATTGCCCAGGCAAGGCAGAGGCAGTGTTGGGATGGAGGAACATGAGCACAAAAGGCTCATGACTTTTGTGCAAGGCATTGACTTCTGTGTCACAAAACTTCCTGTGTACCTGCACCTTACACAGGTACCATGCTTACTACCTGTGCTTGCAGAGATGATAGTGTAATGAGAGCAATTTATTGAACATAAGGTCAATAATAGAGTCCATCATTTGTCATATGTTCTTGAGGGAATATAACTCAAAAGATTGGAAATAATGCAACCAATGCTGAGTTTAAAACAAATCTTCTATCTCGGGTTGTTAAACTAAGACATTGCTAGTGTTGGTACTTACTATCTATAAGCTGTTTTATAAGATTTCCTTAGTGAAATCTGTGTTTTCAAGATTATGGAATAAAATTGTTTTCTGCTTTTAAAATTATGAAAAGGGATTAATTGCAAGTAAATGCCCCAGTTTCACCTCCACCAAAGCTTCTTGATTTTCAAAAATCTGTCAGACTAGGGCTTCACGGTCTTGTTTTGTTTATTTGCTTTCCCACAAAAATCCAGACATACTTGTACAGTTTTGATTTCACTACAGATAACAAATAAATGGTTGGTGGCTTTGCTGTACAAAGCCCAGCATGTGACATAATGGGACATGCTGCCATCTAGATTGAATTAGAATCACAGGATGGTAGAAAAGGCTAAAAAGGAAATTCAGTTGCAGAGTGCTAGTCTTCTCAATTATGCAAGTATTTGTAATGTGGATGAGAGGTATGGGGTGCTAATCTTCTATCACTTTATGTTTAGGGTCCCATGTATGGAAAAATAGACTTTAATTCACAGTCTACTCTCCTACGTGCTCATACTTGTTTTTGTAAAATTGTTTGAAAAGGTGTTTCTGATGTTTGTAGTGAAAATTATAGTACATGAATAATATTATTTCCTCATTAGGAAACCCAAAAATTTTCTTTGTCTGTGATCATTCAATTTGTCTCTGCCTGTAAGTCATCCTCCATGCATAGTCACAGTTCCAGAGGATGAGAGCTCTACCAGTATCTCTGCTTCTTCCCTGCCAGTCTGGAGAGGTCAGACTGCTGTCTTAACTTGATTTTTTTTCTTTAATTAACGTTTGCAGTTAATTGCTAATAGTATTGTTGTGATTGATTTTTTGAAAGTACTACAACAAAACTATTGTTAGCAGTAGCAAGCCCTGTGCTGGCATATATCATCATAGCTACTCTCATAATTTATCAATTGGACTGGCCTAAGGAGATTTTTCATGAAGCCAAGATTTTTCTCTTATCTTTAGAAGAGTGTGTATGTAAAGTAAGACTTCCACTCAGTATTTACACTGCATTAGGAATGAACTGGATAGATCATCAGCTTCAGTACTGGTGTTAGAAAGGGAAAAAATTCAAGTGGTAGGGATTACCCAGTATCAGTGATAGTAAAAGCATACACTATTCCATCACGGTTAAATAGCAATGTACTTTATACATTCTTTTGCTCCCTGGGTATTAAAAATACCCCAAAAGCTGTTTCAGAAAAGAATTTATTGTACTGTACTTTGCAATGGTCTGAGGAATAATGAGGATTTTAAATAAGGAAGCTTGGACAGATGACTTGGCACACTTAGAGCATTTGACTTTGTATTCACTAGACTGTTTTTTAACAATCTCTCTTGAGATCTACAATGCCTTGGCATGGTTTTAGATAACAATATTTTAACAAAGGTGCTGGTTTTCAAATAATACGTAACAGATATCCTTTTCTTTTGGGATCACATGAAAAATATGTAGATACAACACTTAGGAACATGGTTTAGTGGGACCTGGCAGCATTAGATTTATGGTTGGACTCAATTTTAGCAACTTTTTTCCAATCAAGATGATTCTATGATCTTGTGAATCTTCATTACATTTTTTTTTTGAGGTAATCTATTCCGATCAAATATCTGCTAGGCTCTCTCAACTATCAACATTCCCTGTGATTTTGCTGGTCATGTTCTTTTACCTGAGGGTCCTTGGCTGGAAATGCAACCTGTGTGCATTTATCCATCTTGTGAGTCATAAGGCAGTGTTAATGTGTGTTAATGTGTTAATGGTAAGGCCTGCATCATTTCCCTTAGAGGTGACTGACTTGTGATTGTGAGTAAAATAATCACATTTGCTGGTAAAGCTATCTGAGATATACATACATGTATCATATATATGTACTGTAAATTATTATTTTATTGGTTGAAAAGTGTTATTTTTACCAGTTTCATTAAGCATGTTATAAAATAAAAAATGTCAGGTTGAGATACAGTTGTGTGTCTAAACTAATTGTGAGGCTAAAGTAATTAACATACATAAAGCATAATCAAAAACATTGTAAAAAGGTTTTCTAGATTTGGTTTCTCATCATTGTTCAAGCTCAAGAGTCTGCAGGTCTTTAAGTAATAAATAAGGAGCTTGGGTATGATTTAATTTATCCTTGGTCTTTTTTCTAAAGACAGTCCTCAAGTGCATTGGTGTAACCATGAAAACATTTTTAAGTAGAGAGCCTGTGATTGTCTAGGTTGCTCCATGAAAAGATATCTGCAAACCTTACATACCAAAATGACACCATAGTTCCTAATTTACCCAAGACAATAGCAGTTAGTCATGCTTTGTTTTCCTGGTTTGTCTTAGTAATTTGCCACCCCTGGTTAAGATTATCACTTAGGCCTGGCAATGTCTTGTCAGATGGGCAACTCAGCCTTGTGTTTTAAGATTTTTCTGATATGTCAGCCCTATCAAATTACTATCAGCATGGTTTTAATCCTATTTTTGAACCTTATGCAGAGATTGTACAATTAATGTACAGCAGGAAGTGAAGCTGTGAGAAACTTGCCTGTCTCACCAGCAAAACTGAACTGCTCAGGAATTTGTAAAACAATCAGAAGTTGCGTACAAAGATATGTGAACTGGAAGTCTTTTAATTTACACAGCTCCATCAATCCTATAGGACAATAGGAGTGTCCTATAAACACTATAGGACTATTTACTTCACCGCAGGACTGGTAAAATCACTGAAACACTGAAAGAAGTTTTCAGTTCCTTGAAACTGAAAGGATGTCCAAAGCTGCAGAAAGCACAAAAGAGGGAAAGCAGTGAAAGGAGAAAGATATTATTACAAACTAAGAAACTGCACACATTTAATTTGCATGAATCAAAAAGATCTTCTTGGGGTTATGCGAATAGCAAACACATTTATACAAGATAAGAAAAGAGCTTTATTTCACATCGGGAAAAGAGAGGCAGGGACTATGTAAAATTAAAGATGGAAAATTACTTCTTGAACATTTGAAAGAGTGAGATCAAGTGTTATCTTCTGCTTAGTTTATGATGTGTCCTTTTCCATGAGAGGCTAGTAATAGATTTGGTGAAAAGGATTTGGCAAAAGAATAAACTACTTGATGCTTATGATTAGAGATTTAAGAAGTTATAGACACAGAGGGATTAGCAGGGAGGAATATTGTGTTGGTAAGTGAGCATTGCCAAAATCTTGTAAGGTTTCTCCCAACTCTGACATATTTTGCTTTGTGAGTATAATCATCTTAAAGCATTAATTCTGCCTTCCATGCTCTTCTTATTAATTTAGGTAGCTATTGCAAGAGCTCTGTGAATGTCTGCTGAATTCCTGAAAATGTGATTCACTCCATGGAAGTACTATGCTAATAATATTTCATGCCCAGTATTGGTGAAGTTTTGGCATAGAACATCTGCTGTGCTTTCTGAAGCGTGACACCCACAGATCATCTGTTTCAACAGACCCAGATTATCACTAGTAGAGTTTTTAATAAGAGCCCTGTTACTGGGAAGCATCTGTAGTCTTGCCTTCTAGCTGGAAACTTGAAAAAATGATTTGTTGCTGCATCTGAATTGCTGAAGAATGCCATACTACTGTCATGTTACATCAGGGTCACTAATTGCTGGGCTATATTTTTGTAAATATTCCATGTATTTGTCTGTGTTTTCTGCTTAGAATTCTGGCAGACGAATACTACATCACAGAATTTTGTTGTAAGGCCAAGACACAAAAGAAGGAAAAGGCAGGTATGTGCCAATATGCTTGTTTATAAGGAACATGCCGTCAAGTTTGTTTCATGTCTGCTGAGTTAATTTGTCCAGATGGAGTCCTGCTGCTCCTGCTGGTTTGGCATGAGATCTCTATATCAATACAGCTAATACAAAAAGAAGTATCTAATGTAAGCTAAACATTGATGGGTTCTCTTGGACATTGCCTACTGGAAGAGTTAGGAAATTTTAAAATACTGCTATATGGAAAATGAAAAGGTAGGTAAAATAATTTTGCGCCTTGTGAGTATAGTTTTATCAGAAACTCCCATAATAAAACCTATATATTTTTTTAACATGTTGCAATAGTGATAAGTAGCTAGGTTATCTCACTTTATTTTGTTTCAAAAAACTATTCTAAACAGAGACTTCATTCCCTGTTTATTAAAGTGGGGAAGCCACTAAGTGCAGATGTCTGTTACCCGTTACACTCTGTATTGTTAGACCCTAAGAGTTACATTCTCTCCATAGGTTCGTCAGATTCCACGTAAAGTTGAAGAAGAAACAAAATACATTGAGTTGATGATTGTAAATGATCACCTAATGGTAAGACTGACACATTTCAACATCTTACAATTAGCATCAAATTGTCTTAATTTATCCAGAGAGCATAACAATAAAGAACATTATAAGGCTGGAATAAATTCAGTATGTCCTTAATAGAAGAGGTTATGGTCTCATTAACCATTGATGAAGTTGGTTTTGAATTTTGGCAAGTTAATTGCACCAAGAATGCAACTAAGCCTGATGATCAGAAAGAAGGGTCAGAAAGTAACTAGTCACTAGTATGATTTAAGCTGTTGATTTTATTTGTGGCTTTCCTGAGCATTTGTCTTAGTTACAGGCACTCAGAAATCCATAATGCAGTTATTTCAATTGTGCAGCAGCTGTTGAGAATGGGGAGATTAACAGTGACTAGATTTTTTTGAAACATCCCAATAAATGTAAAGAAAATGATTTTGTTAAACTTTTATACTTGGTCTGGGAGAATGCAGTGAGGTTTTTAACATAGTGGAAAGACACATAAAAACAGTGTATTGAAGAAAAGACAGACTCATTCAAGTAGGAAAAAACACAGATATATGTCAGTGAAGATAATTTATTAATCATTTAATGAAGGAAATATCAAAGGAAATGGCAAATTCTTCATCATTTGCAGTTTTCAAAGGTAGCTTCAAACACAAACAATGGATTTTCTCTTGAAGTAACTGGATTAAGTTCAGCTTAGTAGTTCCCATCCGACTGGTGACATTAGATGATTTTATGGTCCCTTAGGCTTTAAAATAAAAATATTTTTATAAATCTTGTCTACTTCTTGTGTAATGTGCAGCAATTCTCTCATGCAATATCTGAATTAGCAAAAATAGACATGAGAGTGTACAAGTGTACAAAAAGTGTGCCACTGTCCTTAGATACTGTACTCCTCCACCAGCTCAGTTTGGGGAACACAGGAATAAATTCTTGGATTAAAATTAATAATATTGGATGAAAATTCCTTAAATCACTATAACTGTGCTTGATCCTAAAGACCTGAAGCTACAATATTTCCTTTGGGATCCTCCTATCTGTTCAGGCAGATTTTCTTCAAGGACAATGTTTCCTAATTTTGTCTAATCACAGCTACTGCAAGAGTCAGTCTAGTTAGGAGTTTATTCTCTGAGGTGAGTGCCAGTGATCAAAGAAGCCAAATAATTTCCTTCTGTAAGAAGGAAATATCATTTGCTGTGGCCTTAACTTGCTTGGTTTTGGTGGTTTTCCCTACATTCCTGCTTGAAAGGATGCCTGTCCTATGCCCTAACTGTGTAAAACTTCTTGCCCACTAAAAGATCCTAACTTCCAGAAAATATGGACAATTTTCATTCCAAAATCAAGCATCATGGGGCACAAGATGGCAAAACATTTCTGAAAAGCTTGTACACTTTTTTTTAAATTCTTCTGAGATACCTGTGACTTTCATGCTCATGATGCTCATTCATAACTGGTTTTTTTCCCCTGCAAATAGGAGTACCTGGATAGCTGTTTCTAGTGCCATTTTTACAACACTGCATTACAAATTTCAGTCAAGGTGCCATTGGAGTTTGATTGCTGAAGTGGTTTGAACCAGTTACTGTGGCTGTATAGAGTGTGCAACTATACAACAAGAAAACAGCTTAAGAGAGAAAATTGGAAAAAAAAATACGGATACAGGCACTTCTGGGATAATACATCTTAAGGAGTCTCAGCTACAGAAATTTTTGTTGCTAACTTCTGCATTGGCATTTGTGATTAATTTTAAAATTGGCAACAATAATGATAATGAAGACAGTAATAGAATTTACTGTTCTTATATCACTTTCCAGTTAAGATTCTAGGGTGCTTTCTAAAGAGGAATTAATACATCCTCACAACAGCTGTTGTAAAGTATATCAGTAATGTGCAATTCTGAGCAATTTTCTACTATTGGTTATAAACATTACACTCAACACAAGAGACAATACCTTGTGCAGGGGCTTTATTGTTGATATAATTGCTTTTTACTTCATGGTGTTTTGGAACTGGACTTTGTTTTTCTGAATCTGAACCTGTTACTGGTCTGTGCTTTTTTTACAGTGTAAAAAGCACCGCCTGTCAGTCGGCCATACCAACAGCTATGCCAAATCAGTTGTGAACATGGCTGATTTGGTAAGTATCACTCAGCTATATGTTCTTTTACGTGTGAGATGAGTCAAAAGATTCTTCTGATGATAGATGCAGGAGTTGTCAGTTCGTGATGTAACAATAGTAATGTATGTGAAGATCACAAATTTTCATCATTCACCTATAGAGCCTTTGACTAACATAAAGCATGAGAGGGGTTATTATGTTGTGGCTTTAAGCATTTAAGTATCCTGCTGGATTGGTCCCTTGAGTCTGAGTTTTAAAGAGCACCTGAGATATGACAGATATTTCTAGCACAGGATCCCTGTTTTGACAACTTTAAACCCAATAGACAATCTGAAATTCTAGTGCATTAAAATTTCTCCAGAAAAAGTGCACTTGAGTAAATGAGTTAGAATAGGGACAGACTGGTGAGCTATGTGGATTGTATTTATATATATGCTAACTCAGACAAGCTGCTGGTTCTTGTACCTCACCGCAGCAAAGTATTAGAAAAAGAAAAGTATTCCTAGAAGAAAATGTTTGAAAGCATTTGGTGTGGAGTGTTGACACAGCATTGAAAGGATGTCCCTTTTTTTGTGATTCAGCCAGCAGGAGTTGAAATACTCCTGTAGACATATATAACAGTGAAAATTGTGGCTTTATAGATCATTATTCTGCATAAGAGGGCCCTTGTGTGTCATTGGGTGAGCTGGCTGTTATAAAAGACGTATTAAGTTCAAATCTTTGAACTATCTGGAATGTAGTAATTTTTCAAAAATCACATTTTTCTTCTATGTACCTCTGCCTGTGTAGGCTAAGAGAAAGCTAAGAGAACTGATTGAAGAATTAAGCCTAAAATTTTGGTTTTACTTGGTTTTTATGTTTGTTGGTTTTAAAGGAGATAAAATCACCTACAAGAATGTAACGTGTGCTAGAATAAGCTAAATATTTAGTTATGTAAAAGTGCAAGCTATTACAAAAAAGGGGTGAACCTCACCTTTTTTTCTATTTGACATAATATATTTGTTCATTCTGTTAATGTACTAGATATATAAAGAACAACTTAACACCAGGATAGTATTGGTTGCCATGGAAACCTGGGCTACTGATAACAAGTTCACCATATCTGAAAACCCCTTGGTGACTCTACGTGAGTTTATGAAATATAGGAGGGATTTTATCAGAGAGAAAAGTGACGCAGTTCACCTTTTTTCGTACGTAACCTTGTGTGATGTTATATTACTGGGGTTTTTTTCTTTCCTTGGGGGTTGCTTCTCACAAGTGGCTGATGTATCTCCTTTCTGTTGTGTGTGTAATCCACAATAATTCAGAAAATAATGTTTCAGATGGGGAGGTGGGAAAAAAATTAATGCACAAACTGCCTGCCAGTGCAACTAGAGGTTTGACTCTTATTTTAATTTTAACATACTAAGCCTGAGCTGCATGCACTGTAATCCTTTGTTATTCTGTGCAACCACCTACTCCACAAGTGCAGCTATCTGAAGAGTCATGCATGGTTCCACCTCAGAGGTTGACTTCTTCAGCAGTAGAGCACGGATTATTTAAAGGCAGAACATTGTTTTTGAAGCCAATGAGATTTTCTGCTGAAGTGCACTATGGCCTGCTTTACTTAGTTGAATGACCTGCATGCTGCAGGATTGCTGAAGTGTTTCAGATCCTCAAAACAGTTGGTTCTCCCAAGATATTTGACCTATAAGAATACTAAACTGAGAAAAATGTTATTTTCTCTAAGTATCTTAATTGTTTTTAAAATAAGATTGATATAATAAAATATATTTGCAAAAATACAGGAGAGATACATGGCTGAGATTTTTGATCCACACATGACATGACAGATGAATATCTCTGTTGGAGTCCTTTTTTCTCTCTGCTGACTGTTTTAGGAGCCTATAAGAATAAACTTAACCTAAACACCTCACTTCACATGACTTCAGTAGGGTTCCAGGATACCCAAGCCCGGTATCCACCCTCAGAATTTTCGCATGTACCTAATTACTACCACTGATTTCTGCCTTGAAGAAAGCTAGTAAGATTTGCGAAGTGGTGCTTGCAGATTTTGGTTTCTCTGTGTCTCAGATCTTCATCTCTTAAATGGGAATCAGGTTTTCTCATATCCTTTTTGTAATTTCTCTGGTGGCATTGTAAAGTCTTTGAGGGGTAAGTCTGGTTCTTGTGAAAATGTGTGTAGTGACTAGGACAAAAGAGAGCCCAATTTGGCCTGTGGTTGGACTCTGGATACTACTGTAATGCTACTTCCAGTGCTATCCATAGCACCACCATCAATGATGTTTGTGGTGTTGCATTCATAGACTGTTTAGAAACAGCAGTTTCTGAAATTATGTCTGTGAGTGAAACACAGCCATGTTGGGAGGTGGGGGTAGCTGGTGTGATGTTACAGTGGTTACAAATGAACTTCCACCTTTAGCACAGTAAGCCCACTGTGATCCTTCTTGATGTTTTTCTCCTCTCACCTGAGAAAAATAATTTGCCAGATGGATCAGTACTCTCAGGTGGAGCAGAGTATATTTTGTCTCCAGTAACTAGCAGTTATTCATGCTGATGTGGTCAGCACCAAAGAGGTGATTAGATTTAGGCGCAGAGTGCATCTGTTCCTTGGATGAGATTGGCTGTAGTTCCAGGGAGTTTTCACCTACCTCTGCATCTTCTGCTAATGCATCTCCCTTGAGTTTTACCACATCAGCACTGCCCAATTAGACACGTGTTGTTTCACTAGTCATGAGCTGGGAGCATGGTGGCCTCTCCTGAGCTCTGCCTGGAGCACGTGCCAGCGGAAAGCACTCGCTGCAGTAGAATGTCAAGAAACAAGAGGCTGGACAGATCCAAGTGGTTTGGCAAAATAGTCCCTTTCTTCTTATATTGGGTAGTCTGAAAAGGAGCAGGGAAGATGGTATAAATTTTCTGGAGATAACTTGTCATGTGAGCTTTGTGAGTGGTTATCTGTTTTTCCCATTTGTTTTTGCATAATTTGCAGTGTAGTGGTGGCATCCAGCATTTGCAAATGCCAGCTTCTCATTTGGAAATCAGAGGGGTAATTACTGGAATAGGCAGGTGCAAAACTCGTGGACTGAGCAGGGTAAACATCTTTTTCTTTTCATTTTTATCAAAGGGGGAGTCGTTTTCAGAGCAGTCGAAGTGGTGTAGCCCACACTGGTGGAATCTGCTCCTTGCTTAAAGGCGGAGGTGTGAACGAGGTAGGTGGGGATACTGGTATGAGCAAAAAGTGGTGGAAATTTATCTGCAGGGAATTTATCAGTGCAGACATGTTCCTCAAAATATTTTGCTTTTTTTTGGCTGATGTAGACTCTTACTGCAGCTCTGTGGAAGGGACACTTCAATGAAGAGTGATGAGTGAATAAAGTCAATACACTTCAAATACACTTTAAAGCAAATTCTGCAATATCCTGTCATTCATATTTCCAGCCACAATGCCAAGAGAGAAACAGACTTTCTCTTACTTATTTTGTCTATAAGCTAGTGCTTAGTTTTCATCTGGCTACCCTGAAGTAAGAATTCTAACACTGCATATGTGATTTTGCATTTTTTTCCTTGATATGAGAAAAGCTTCACTTGAATCTGAGATACCTGTGTGTTGCTGATTACTTTCCTCACCTTATTTCTTTCAGTTTGGAAAGCCAGACTTAATGGCAGTCACCCTGGCACAGACCTTGGCCCAAAACATTGGCATTTTCTCAGACAGAAGAAAGCTTCTAAGTGGTAATTTTGTTTGCTTTTTCATTGTATCTCAAGAGAATTAAAAAGTAGAGGATCTTATTAGTGTCCTGTCAATGTCTTTCTGATATGTACTTTTTCCTTCTGTTTCTCGCAATATAGAAATATTTTTATTTCTTGCAGTAACATGAGAAGGGTCTGATATACTAGTTTTCCTCTATTTGAGGAAATCTTTGAGGAGTATACCCCTGCTTGTAATTTCTGACAGCACTGGTGTCACCATTTCTTCCAAAATAGACCATAAAGGTGCCTGTCACTTCCATTCATTTCGGGGAGGCTGGTGTCCCACCCACAGACCAAATGGCTGCCATCTTATGACACAAGGGTGGGAATTTACATTATTAGATCGGGGTATAATGAGGAGCCTCCTCAGTACTGTGGTATAGGACAGTTCAAACAATACAACTTTTTATCTGTTTTCCTTGATTGATTTGCTCTTGTATATTATCCAAAACCCTTGTTTCTCCTGTAGATTACCCAAATATCCAGTATTTGCTATTGCTACCATTTCTCTGCTGTAACCTTGGTATTCAGCTCCTTAGTTATCCCTATTTACCTGCAATGCTTTAATCTCCACCATTGTGCCCACAACAAGCACCTTGCCTTCCTGCTTCCATGTTATATGAAGTCCCAGCTTGATATGATTAAAATAAAAATACAGTTTTGAAACAATTTAGATAATTAACTGGAGTGTGGACTTACCGGATTGTGTGTGCTCATGTGGCCTACATTTAATAAGATAAATTACTCTATTGATTAGTGGATTTTTTCAGATATTGTAAAGACAATATATAATGCAGAGATAACTGCATTTAAAGTTTTTTGCAGATTATACAATATCATTTTTAAAAATAATCAGAAATGTAGGACTGATGCTCTATCCTACAGACATGTTCAGTATTCATTTTCCAGCCACATATTTTTGAGTGGATGTAGGGGCAGGGTAAAAGTGAAAATTATAATGGTGGCGACTCCCTTTCTTTATGACTGAGAAGGGTAGGACACTGTTTTGGTAGGGAGAGAGGAGAATGCAATTGTTAGACAGAGCTTTGTTTGCTTTCTAACTGTACTTTTAAAATGGAAACAATAAACTGGTGTTCATGTGTACAGTAAGAGAAGTTATGGAACGTGCAAGTGGAAAGCATTTCTACTGAAATTAAAGCAAGACACAGCTTTCAAAGTGGAGGATTGAGACCAGAGCCAAGTGATCCCAGCTGGCAGGGCAAAAGGGAGTTGCATGGGGGAGGAAGGGAGGAAGAGCCGAGGAAGAAGCTGATAGATCCTGCTGTACTACCTTGTGTTCATTGATCATTCCATGCTTTTTTTTGGTCTCAATTATTGTTTGGGGTTTTTCAAGGGAAGATTTGAAGATTTTCAAAATCACGTTACCATAGTCAAAGAAGAGAACTGAAAAAAAAAAAAAAAAAAGAAATTTGGGAAATGAGTATCATCACACAGGAGATGAGAAAGCTGACTCATGATTTGCAAGTGCAGAAGGCTAACACTGCAGTTTTTTTTAAGAGAAGGAAAGAAAAACAGGACATATTTTCAAAGCTCAGGATTGCACAGAATCATGTAGAGTTTTTAAAAACTTTGCCAAGGTGCACTGATACACTTAAACTAAGGTGTGCAATAAACCAGCAAATTATTCTTTCCTACTTCTCAGGAAATATGAAATGGAATTGAGTACAGTGTGCTTTTTACGATAAAAATTGTATTATTTTGGACTTACAAGACTCAAGATGTAACTTTTAATTTTATCTTTTTTTTTTTTTTTTTGTCAGGTGAATGTAAGTGTGAGGACATGTGGTCTGGATGCATAATGGGAGATATGGGGTAAGACAGTTCACTAGAGAAAATTCATGTTTTTCATATAGTGACATAAAGGAAAGATGTGAAAAGTTTTCTCTTTTGTGGTTCATCAGAATATTCTTGATGAGTCCATTAGTTATATACCATACAAAGACACCTTCAAAGAAATTTGAGAATAAGTGAGTTCATAAGAAGGGCATGTGAGGCTTTTTGGTGAATGCTGATTTAACTTGGAAAGCACAAGGCTCAACAGTCAAGTCAGGTCATTGCAGAGAAGCAGAAACAGGCATAGCTTATTTTGTCATGCAAGATTCTTACTAAGTTGTGGAAAAAATGACACACCCTAATTCTTAAAATCCTATAATCAAATTTCTGAGGCATGTCTCATTTTCAGTGTTTTTGTTGGAATCTTTCATCTTTCTCTATCATCTTTTATCACACAGTTTGTGTGATATTCTTAGAAAAACTGCCGCCGTTGGAGGCTGAGTATGTTCATACCCATGTGTAGTGTCACTGGGGAGATTTTAACATAATGACTGGTGAATCAGCAAATTTTTGCTGGTGGATGAAATTTGATGCTTTCAGAAATATATTCAGACCCTAACACTTTTTATTACAGGCCTGTCTTTTATCATGCATATGAATTATAGTCTAGTTTTAGATATTAATTACATTGTATTCTAGTTTTAGATATAGACAGGGCTAATTTTTTAATTAATTTTGAATGGATCCACAAATTTTCACAATAGCTTTGTGGTCAGAAAAATTTTGAGCAAAGTGTGTCTCATTCAAACCTCTTTGAAAGTGTGAATGTGTGCCCTTTTCATCTTAAAATATCTGAAAACATACCTGGTAGGATTTTTCTGATTTTTGGTAAGTTAAAAAACCAGTCTGAGAGGCATTTTTGATTCTTATAAAAGTTATAAATTCCTATGTTAGGGCCTTTAAATTCTTTATCTGAAGTTCAAACCTTTCACATAATTTGGTACATGAAGAAGCCTTGTATTTACCTAGCTTATTGCCGAACTTCGGTGAAATCCACAGCCTCTGTAGTGTTTAGACCAAATTCATGAGCATTACAGATGGAAAAAGCCAATTATGTTTTGGAAGCTATCTCTCCCAGCAGTGCAGGATAGCACTTTGGCTAATATTTTTATATCTAGTGGTGAGCTGATAGAGGAAAGCCCTTGAGACTCCAAAATCTCCTTGAAGCATAAGTAGTTTCAGGACTATGGACCTGAATATAAAGATCACTGCAGTTGCCTTGGGAAAAGTTATTTCCCTGTGAAAAGGATCCATGCAAATATTCTATGCATCACATTGTTTTTAGGTGGGGCACGATGCCTCAGGGGACCTCTATACTCAATTGAAGTTTACTGAGTGGGACACATGACACAGAGGGAAGCTGAAATGTTAGGTGGTGTTTGCTAGAAGCATGTTTAAAATGGCATAACTCTATTATATAAAAATTCTGTGAGTCAGGGGAACCGTTTTCCTCTAAGAGAGAAATAAACTATAACCTGTCTTTTTCTCCTGCAGTTTGTATGGGAGGAAATAAATGTATTTCTGAGATCAGGCCTGTTAGTGGAACAAGTCACGCTTGTGCGAACTACATGCTGTAATCACATTTGTGCTGTTTGGCATATAAAAACTTAGTGAAATATTCTAGAATTCTCACATTCCATGAGCTCTGTGCCATTGTTGAAATTTCCTTGTTATTTACTGGAAGGATTTTCAAATAGAAAGAAATAGAATAGTCAGATAGACTTATAAACAGATAGTCACTCTAATTCTGAGCAGCATGTTTTCATTCTTTTTCTGAAGTATAACGTTATATTTCTTCTCTTTCTAGAAAAGAAAATGCAGTGTAAAAAGCACCAGAGAAAGTAATCCTTCTACCTTATTTTGTTAGGTACTATCTTCCAAGCAAGTTCTCTGAGTGTGATATCGAAGAGTATCATGAATTTTTAAACAATGGAGGTGGAGCCTGCCTTTTCAATAAACCAACCAAAGTAAGCATTACATTAATGTTTAATATTATTTCTATCCTATTGCTAATTTTGATGAAACAAAGAAAAATGAAAATTATTGTGTTGGGAAAAACCCCTTTATTTTTGATAGTTCTGGTTCTTTCTAAGTTCTAACTATTCTGGTAACATATGGGTGTAAATAGTTTAGTTCATAGTAGTTTAGAAGTTACTTTTAAATAAATTTCTAATACAGTGGTTTCACGTCCAGTAGAGCATTCACAGCCTCTGATTGAGAATTATTCCTCACACAATTTGTTCTGAATATTGTGAATACAATACAATTTTGTATTTACAACAGCTCTGCAATGCAGGATTTGCAGCAGTGTTTTGGTATATTCCTACTCCATTCACTGAAGCATGTGTTAAAAAGTAAAGCAAACAGGAAAATGATCTTGACTCTTTTCTATATATCATTAATGTTAACGTGTATTTAATGGCTGTCTTTCAACAAGCAAAGGAAAAGAGGGTAAGGCAGAAAGACAGTCCAATATGGAAAAAAGACTTATCTGGTAACTGAAGTGGTCACAGATGTAAAAGAGAAGAAGGTCAGTTCAGGAATGATGCATGTCCTTCTAGCGAATGTGAGAAAAAGTGCATCTTCTTACAACCACAGAATTTCCATAAAACTTAAAGAGGAGAGAGAAAACATAAAATCTGGACAAGCTGAGCTTGCCTGTCTCTTAAAGGTCTCTTTTGATGAAAGAGTCTATTATTAGAAGTGGACAGAAAGCACTGTAATACATTAATAAGGTGTAAAATTTCGTATTTAAAATGTACCTGAGTTTTAGAAGTTTGCTTTTTTCCATCCCATTAAAGGTGGAGAAATACTGGTAGATGTATTTACTTGCCAAGTGTATTATGTATACAGTGTAATGTGTCTTACTTGGTTTTATTTTAGTGTTTGTGTTCATTTACACATCTGTCAGTTGGAAAAAAACCCCAATTACTTTCCTTTCAATTTAGTTTGGCAGGACTTTAGGTTTTTTTTGGTTTTTTTTTGGATGGCATGCAGAAATGTGAGTTAGATGTGGAAGCCAGGGTGATCTAGTTTCTTTTGTGCATTGTGGTTTGGGTTGGTCTAAAGGTTTTGTCAATGGATGTCTGTCTAATTAACAATGCTGTCAAAGATATGTTTCCTAGCAGGGGTGGTGAGACAGAAACTTGTTTTTGTTTTTCAAGTATTATGAGATAAAGGAAAGCTGATGTGACAAGGTGCAGTGTTTGGCACTGCTCCACTCTTAGATCAGCTATAATCCCAAAAATTACATCAGTGGCTGCTGGAGCAGATTGAACATATGCTCTTTTCAAATGAATGGATGAATGATATGACTTTGGGGAAAGGTTATCCAATTGCTTTTAATGTTTGGGTTTTTTTCCTTCAATTTCATTGTTAGCTGTCTCTATGTGCTGCAGCAAATTGGCCCAATATTTCAAGGCAGAATTCTCTGTCACTGCCGTCTCTTTGTCTCTTGTGCAGCACACTGAGACATATTGAAGAAATTAAGCTGTCTGGAAAAATACATAGGAAACAAGCACTTTTAACAGCTCTTTAATGATTCTACAGGCTTGCATACATTTTATGTTAAATTCTACTTATGCATTGCATGCTGCAGTCAAATTTCCATTTCAATAGGGGATGTAATAATAATCAGCCAGTGCCAGGCTGTGGTTTGTGGCACAGTGAAGTACGTGGGGTGATGCTCCATCCTGTGGGCTCCTGACAGAAAGGCAGCAGCCAGTGAGAAATGCTCTACACTGTGCACGATGTGCTTGTGCAGATGGCTCAGGAGCAGGGTGATTTTTGGAATGGTCCTAGTTTAATTGGAGAACTTGAAGGCTGAGCTGCAAAATTTTAGTCTGGTGACACGCTTAAATGCCTTCTCATTTATGTAATAAAAGCTACTATTATGTTTTTTTTTTATGTCCAAAGGAAAAATATTTTCTTTTAGAAGAACTTTAAAAGTTTTAGGAAGACAGAAAAAATTAAACTGGAAAGGACAGATTGTCAGTGTCCCTTAGGAGAGGTTATGGCATACAAATGTAAAGATTTTGATCTTTTAAGTTACAGTCCAGTGGGAAGGCTGAAAGGAAAGGGAGGAAACCTCAGCAATACTTCCTGTGCACATCTGCCTGTGTGTAATACATACTTACAGAAAACTGGGAAAAGTTTCCAACTGTGGTAGAGGAAAATGGAAAGAAAAATCCAACTGCAACAAAAACTGCCAAAGAAGCAGAGCATCTCTCCCTCCCAAGCATTTCTGAGCCACATAAAAGGACTACTTTTTATGGCTATTACTTCTGAACTTACAGTGCAGGCTTTAACCTTTCAGCCCTTGTCACTTGAACTCCAGAACAACAGCAGTTGCAACTGCTATGAAGATAATGAAATTGTCACATCCTTAATTTTTTTCCTTTATTGTCATACCTTTTGTTTTTCATTGTAACTTCTGCTCAAACTGAATTTACTGTAAAGCTGACATCTAAGCACAGAAGATACCATGTGACTCAGCAGCACTGCTGCATTAATTTTCAGGAGTGTTCATTCTCTGTATGCTTCACTTGTGTTGTGTCACTCTGTGTCTCCCTGAGTCGTGGGAACTGTTTTTCAGTTAATGCATTTGAAGTGCTAGCTTAAAAACCATGTTGCACAGAGCAAATATGACAATGACTACCTTAAAAGAGACATGCCCTTTGATTTCTGAATTTCCACGCAGCTTCTGGATCCTCCAGAATGTGGCAATGGCTTTGTGGAAGACGGAGAGGAATGTGACTGTGGGACAATAGCGGTAAGTGCAATGTACTTTAAATTAGCAACTAGATTTGCCTGAGAGTTGGTACTGCACATTGCTGCTGTTAATGATAAGTGGAGGAAGACAAGCAGGGTGAAGGTCATCTGCCCAAGGATTCATAGTATTAGCTGCCTGTGCAGAATCAGACCTTCAAAGGCATGAAAGAAAGCATTTTCCTAGATGGAAACACTTGTCAGTGCTAAGATGTTAGTATTTAATGACAATATGAAGTTAGAAAAATTATTTTCTGTCTTGCACAGGAAGCAGCAGTTTCATGCTCCACAAGTATATGCCTTTTTCTGCCTCCAGGTACCTAAAAGAATGGAGAAAAAAATCTATTCAGGTAGTGTGCTAAGATGAGAAGTATTAAGAGCTTGGGGTTCATGTGCTTTTCGCATGTATTCTGTTCTGTGTGTGTGTTCCCAGGAGTGTGCCAGTGAAGGAGGAGAGTGCTGCAATACCTGCACCCTGACCGCGGGCTCCCAGTGCAGCAACGGGCTCTGCTGTCGGAAGTGCCGGGTAAGGGCAGTGACCTTCACTGTAGCAGCCTGGTGGGAATGCATCCTGGTGTCTGCAGGCACTACACCACATGTATTTTCCCTCGCAGACCCTGTGATTACTCTTCTGAAAGCTTACCTTTTAAAACTGGCTGAAATCTGATTTTTCTGAGGCTGTACTCTATCTTTTAGGCTTGGCTTTTTGGGGCAGGGACTGTAATCAAATGCAGAGGTAAATTGAATCCTTCCAGTTTCAGACAAGTTTGAATCAGGTTGAAGTTCTATGAGATCTCATTAGACATCCTTGCTTAAAGGATACATTAACCATAAAGGTTTCATTACATGCCCTTTTTTTTCACTATGAGGATGGTGAGGCACTGGAACAAGTTGATTAGAGAAGCTGTGGATGCCCCATCCCTGGGAGTGATCAAGGCCAGGCTGGATGAATCTTTGACCAAGTGGAAGGTGCTCTTGCCCATGGCAGTGGGGCTGGAGCTAGATGATCTTTAAGGTCCCTCCCAACGCCAGCCATTCTGTCATTCTTTGAACATGCACACCCTTATCCAGGTGCCACTCCCAATGCCATATTGTTGCTCTGGATTTGCCCCATGAGACTGAATGGGAAAATCATACCACAGAGTGTCTGAGGGAAGGATAGAGTAAAAAATCACAAGAGCACAGCCAGCAGAATTACTCAGAAGGATTCATCTAAAAGACACCTGACTTCAGTTTCAGTTTGGTCTGCCTGTGTGTCCTTATGTTTGGACTGACTGAAATCCCATTGAGTAAAGGGAATCAAACCCTATGTAAACTGTAAGTTATTCTTCTTGATACATCAGTAAATAGTAAAAGGAGGTTTAACCAGATCGTGGCTGTAAGGGAGCCATGTTAAATATGACTTCAAATAGTTGTTTGTACTCATTTAGTAATAAAGATTATTAGTATTAATGTAGTTAAAACTGTGGTGTACTATGGGTGATATTTTTATCTTTGCGCATTTGAGGGTTTCATTCCCTTAGGAGGATCATTAATAATAACTGTGGAACACATTCTTGACTTTGTGCTCATCCTAATGTTAAAAAAAGAAAAAGCACAGATTATGCTGGAACAGATCACATTTCCCTAAGCACATTCCCTTTTAAAATGTAATAGTAAAACATATCAGCAGATTACCAGTGTAGGTGAATTTTGCTCAAGAATCCAAGTCATATAGGCACCATATTAAAGACTATCAGAACAAAACAAAACTTTTGTATACCTACCTTATTTTTTTGCAAATGAGAGAAGGGTTTATCTCCTTTCAGAGTGGCAAGGGTGAGTGAATGAATAGAAAAGTAGAATTTTACTACTGTGTTTATCAGGACAACTCAAAAAACTATATATAATAGCTCCCAAACTTGAGGTTACCTTCCCCTGTAATGTCCTGCCTGAAAGCAGGAGTGAAGGAGGGGTTGCAAGCAAGACATGGTTATTATGCATCCCAGAATCCTGTAGTATCTCTGACAACGTTGGTGTCTATCTGCATTTTTCCAGTGACTGGAAGAAAAAAGAAGCTGAGGGCTTAGAAAGTACCATAGTCCAGCTCTTCCACTATTGTGTGCCCGTTCACACCAGCTTGGAGTTAACAGCTGTCCCCCGAAAAATGCATGTGCATGCAGATCAAAAAAATAAAATAAAAAAATCACAGGCCTGCAAAATGAACTGGGTATCAAAGTCTTAAGAAAACTTTGAGGAAAAATAAGGACTCTGTAATATGTCCATACCAGAAACACTAGTAATTGCCTAAATGAGATGTCTTCCTTCTTTTCCAGGTCTTGAGACTTAACACATAATTCTTTAGCCAAAATGTCTGTATTAGGTCACTGGTACACTTTTCATTGTTAAATATCCAGTCCCTTAGAAAAGGGTGTCAAACTGTACAGAATTCAGTACATTTATTAATAGTTCCTGTTCTGCAACAACAATGGGGGATTAAAATAACCAAAGTGTTTATATGTAGAGCTCTGCGGTGTTCTTCATCCCTAGAGAGAAGATCAGGATGACTTCTTCTGTTCTGTAAAGAAGAGTAAAATAGTCCCAAAAAGGCATAGTGACCTGGTGGGATAATTGTCCTGGTTTAAGGCAAATTTGAGAGAGAACCTCTGAAGGGTTTCCTCTAGAAAGCAAATTCAATCAGACCCTCCCCCAGCTGGTTCGGGAAAAAGACTTCCTTGGAGAAAAGTGGAAAAATGAATAATGCTGCCAGCCACTGCAGTATTGGTTTGGACACTCCCAGGGGTCCTCTGTCCAGGAGAGACTTCTCCTGCTCAGCTCCACAATCTGTGCCCTTGAGAGGGGGTACCTCAGAGAGTGGCACCACTTGCACCAGTAAATGGCTTGAGTGGTGCAGCATACACACCAGGGAAAGGAGAGTCTTCCCACTTCAGTCAGCACGTGAATATTTCCCATTTTTTATTTTAGATAAAACTGTAAGGAAGTATTGCATTTAAGGCAAGATATGGAGAAACCAAGACACTAATTTCCTGTGCTTTCTTTTTCCAGTTTGAACCTAAAGGAGTCTTGTGTCGAGAAGCAGTGAATGATTGTGATATTGCAGAGAACTGCACAGGAAATTCCAGTCAGGTGATTTTTGTGCCTTCTATTCATGAAACAAAAAAGCCCCACCTGTAATATCAAAATCACTATGAATGTTTTGTATAGTATGGTGTATAAAAATTGTGTTTAATCTGTTGATGCTGAAACAAACAGAATGTTACTGAAATGATTTTTCATATGACTTTTGTTGTATACTTTGCTTTCATGCTTGTCTGACCTATGATCTATTACTTATTTTCTCTTTCTATAGTGTTCTCCTAATATCCATAAAATGGATGGATATTCATGTGATAACAGACAGGTAATTAGGACTTCAGTTTTGTTTAAAGATTGCTTTTTATGGATTTTGTTTTAGGATCTTTGGAAGTCACCTGGGACAGTTCTGCTAACATTCATGACTTTTATGCTAATCATATATGAAATGAAGATAGAATCACATATTCTTTGCCTCAATATAAAGCGTGTGACTAATCTTTGTATTATAGAAATACATATTTTGGAAAATCAAGTCATTTGAAATATTTTCTGTATATTTTTTCTTTCTTACTAGGGTATTTGCTTTGGAGGAAGATGTAAAACTAGAGACCGGCAATGTAAATATATCTGGGGTGAAAGTAAGTGAATGTTTCTGTTTCTAAGTTGGTTGTAATACATGTGACTTGAAAGACTATCTTAGCTAAGAAAAATTATGGAAGAGACATACTGAGAACCATTGAAAATATCTAGAACAGTATGTCTCTCTCTTTCTTTCCCCCATCCTTCTGTCTTTCCATCCCCATTTCCAGCTCTTTCTCTAGTGTTGGTTAACTTGCTGATTGTTCTGAAATCTGAAACTTTAGTTCTCGTTAATAACCATCTAGGGAGCCTATACTCCTGTTCATTAGTTTATTTCAGTGGGGACATTCTTGACCAATAAACTCTCATCTATCTGAACAAAATTTAACAAAAGTCCTATGATGGCATAAAGCTTTTAACTGAGATGAGCACTGTGCAGAGTTTCATGGGCCACCTGCAGATCATGGTGTGTCAGTTCACAGATTGGGAAGCTCTGCTTGCTTTGATTGTGCATCCCCATTTCTCAGGACATGGCTTTTCAAAGTCATCATCTTAGAAGAGATTTGTTTCTGTTTTTAGAAGTGACAGCTGCTGACAGGTACTGCTATGAGAAGCTGAATATTGAGGGAACTGAGAAAGGAAACTGTGGAAGAGAAAAGGACTCTTGGATACAGTGCAATAAACAGTAAGTTGATCCATTTAGAAAGCTACTAGAATGAGGTTCTTACCCCTGATCCAATTCTTAAGCTGGCATGAAGAGACTCAGAAAGCCTCCTATGGATCAGATTTCTGACCTTCTTCTGCAGGCCTTTGTGCAAGAAGTCCTGGAGGGAGTAGGGTGCCAAGAAGAGTTGATCCCTGACAAGAGAACACCATCTGAGCTTGGGAGAGCTTGGACTAAAAGTGGTCCTAGTACTCAGTGAGGGTTAGCAGTGCAGAGGAGAGAAGCCTTTGGTTTCACATCTTGGTGTGGTGGTCACTTTTATGCTGTGACATTGCATTGCTATGTTTTGTCCACTTTTCATGGTATTGTAACTTTCCAAGTATATTCCTGCAAGTCGCTGCCTAAAGCATTTTTTCACATTCTTCATATATGCAGTTGATTATTTCTGCCAATTTCTGAACCTTTCACCAGTCCTTATCAAACTATTTTTTCAGATTTCTCCATTCTGTCCATGACATTCGATTTCTAGTTCTGCCTACGGGTGAACTGATGTTCTTTCCTACTTTTTTAACATAGTTTTGATAACCTTATTTCTGTTCCATTACAAATTCATAAGTAAAAAATATTCAGTAATATGGGAGATGTCAGACCCTTCTAGTCTGTCAGTGCAAAAGTCTCCACACATGAGTAGTGAAGTCCCTTCAGCAGCTGAAATAAACTTGGTGTCTATAGTTCCCTTACATATGTGTCCTATGAGAGTGTATTTAGAACCAGTATCTACTGTTGCTCTTCTCTGGACCAGTTACTGTATCTTAATAGATCACTAAATCAGTTTGGTGTGGTTTGTTCTTGACAGCTCCCTGCTTGTTATTACTTGAGGAATTTTTGATAATGTGGTATAAAAACAGAGTTTTCCCAATCTAACTTCCAGGGGAAGAATTTTTTTGGGAAACAGCATCGCTTATGGGAGTTATTGTCAGTGGGAGAAAAGCAAGGAATAACAAATAGGTTACCAAGCAAGTGGTCACATTTTTGATTGTCCATTTTCATTGAATTTTAGTTTTTATGAGTATCTGTTTATTCTTTCAATGCAGGGATGTGCTTTGTGGATACCTTCTGTGCTCCAATATATCCAGTGTGCCCAGACTTGGAGAACTTGATGGTGAAATCACAACATCAATCTTGCACTATGGAAAAGTCTACAATTGCAGGTAATTGGAAATCCTGAAAACAGAATGAACAATATCCATCTTTCACAGAAAAGCAGCTTTCTCATTCCTAAGTGGAGAAAAACTGTTTCCATTGATTTTTTCCCCTATTAACACATAACCATTATTTCAGTTCAACCTTTGTTAAGCTTCAGAAAATTAACTGCCTCTGGGGAAGTTTCACAGTCGCCTCAGTAGTTAATTTTACCTGTAGAGACGTAATGCTCTTCTCAGGCCCTGTGATTTTGCATTCTTTAATATTTGCCAAGTACTTTGTGTACCCAGAATACTTAGACATATGTCTGCACTGCCAAAGTTAACTGGTAGCCTAATTCATTGCTATATTATAGCTGAATTCTAATTATAGATGTGGTAGGTTTTGATAGCTTCACACAACTGTGAGACGAAATGATGTCCTAAACAAGTAAACTGAGTTCTGTCTAACTCTAGTTGTTTCACAGGAAAAATGGTCCTTGTGTTCATGATTACATTTGTTTGATGTAGATAGTCTTTAGTTTGTTTCATGTTAGCCCGGTGAGGTCAGTAAGCCAACACTTACTCTTACGTGGTCCTGGACATTGTGCAGCACAGAAATGCAGGCCCAGGGCCCAGTGTCTCAAGCAGTCCCATCTAACCACAGCTCGAGTCTCCAAGGTCCTCTTGACTGTCTTGCAGTGGTGGCCACGTGAAGCTCGATGAGGACACGGACCTGGGCTACGTGGAGAACGGGACGCCGTGCGGGCCGGACATGGTGTGCCTGGACCATCGCTGCCTCCCCACCGAGGCCTTCAACTTCAGCACCTGCCCAGGCACTACCGACAGCCAGATCTGTTCAGGACACGGGGTATGCTCTTGCAGCCTTTAATGCTTTTTGTTGGTTTTGCTTAGTACCTGACCTTGTGTAGTCTACTAGCTGGACCTTTCAGGAAGCCAGCAGTGTGACTCCAGACATCATAAAACTGGAGAAATTTTTGAAAAAGAAAAGGGAAGAAAGTACATAAGTAAATATAATGCATTCCCATCCAGGCATCTTAAACAATGAGTCATAGTTAGTATGTATTAGTTTTACAGAGTTTTGTCAATCAATGATTTTGCTCATTTTTGCTAACTTGATTGGTATTTCCTTCAGCTACACGAGGTTTTATGAACTGAGAAACTTGGGTCTCTGTTCTTCCAGAGACCTTCTCTTTTTAATTACATAAATAGCCAAGAAGATTCATGAAGTTGTTGATGATGTTGGATTTTCTGGGCTGAGAGTTCCTTTACTCTGGAAAAGAGGGCAGAGAGCTGGCTCTTGGCTAGTTTCTCTGCTCGGTGTGCAGTCTGTGGCTTTGCCGTGGCCCTGGTGAGCCCCCTTGTCCCTCACACAGTTTGACACAACGGCCAGGGCCCTGTGACTGGGCTGAGATCAAGGAAGTTGTTCTCTCTTAATGTCTTTTGTCTTGTACACTGCATTAAAACTTCCTTATTTATCTGAAATCATGCACTTCATCATATTTTGAAAAAAAAGGTCATTAAGGTCAGTCTCCCAAAGCAATTATAATTGGTTCTATTAAATATAGATTACATTAAAGTATGTACTGAATAAACATTACATCTGTTTATATAAAACATAGTAGCACATTTAATGCATTTATACCTAACATAAATTAAAAATTGCTATATATTAAAAATTATTTTGCAAAATCCTGTGAGCAGTAAAATCATGGCTTTATCACTGTATAGGTACAGTGATATCCCTATACTTAAGGTATTAATTACAGGAATGGATGAATAATCTGATTTTTTTCTGAGCTACACTTTTGACTGCAGATTTGTAGCAATGAAATAAAGTGTGTCTGTGACCGATTCTGGGGAGGAGATGACTGCAGTTCTCACATCAAAGACGATCTATTTTTTGATAAGGATGCCATCAATAAAGGTATGTTGTTATAATTTTTACCAACAACTGAAAATGCTTGGATTTGAAGAGAGTTCATTGAGCAAAAGTAGGTCTCCTACTCTTTCAGTTAGTACAGAACATGCTGCTGCTGCAGGAGCCTTGTTCCCCTCTCTCCTCCCAGAGCAGAAGCACTGTAAAGTGTAAAAGAAGTCTGTAAATGAAGCCTCAGTCAGTGCCTATTTGGGAACTGGTATCAATGGGTCCAGTTCCACCATGCTTGTCCCAGTCATCTGAGTGGCCTTATTAGGCATATTGATAGATTAGAACAAGCAAAAGATTACTGGAACATTCCATATCTAGACAGAAAGGTAATGCCTGACTTACATTTTTGAAGTGGAAGTTTTTATTCTGCTTTAGTCTTGCATACAAAAGAAAGATACATTGTGGAAAAATGAGCTTGTAAATTCTGGTCATTAGAAATCCTTTTGAGTGGACATCTTCCAGAATCCTTAATTTGATTAATTTATTCAGCTGTGGAAGGGAGGTGAGCAAAACCAAACAAGTAGTCACTTTTATTCCATGGATTTGTTAGGGCAGGTTGTAAGGATGTAATCTACAGCAGTTTAATATTGATAATACTTTTTTGGCATACCTGGCACAGGTTTCCTGTGTAACAAGCATTCAGTTAATGGAAACAGACACAGAAGTCAAAGCTTGATTTACAAGTGGTTTTTTATGTCCATGCTATGCTTCAGGAGTTTATCACAGGTTACAATTAATCAGCCTAGTGAAAGTTGTTCAAGCTGGTTTTTGAAAGATGGTGCACTTGCTGGTTTTGTGTATTTTTCTCCTAAAACCATGTATATTTTTCATCTTTCTTGTGTTTCCAGGTGTGGTTAGCACAAATATAATAATAGGGGCTATTGCTGGCACCATTTTAGTGTTGGCTCTCGTTTTAGGAATAACTGGTTGGGGTTACAAGTAAGTACATTTTGTTCTTCTTTATAGAGTTTCAAAATATGTGTATTTCATGTGATAGCTGATTATGTTATGAAAAGACCAATTCAAAAAATCTAAAAAATCCAAATTCAACAATATTTGTACAGTAACATTTTTTCATATTACCATTTTTCAAGCAATTCTTACATTTGTATGTGGTTTTAGAGAGCTTGATCCAAATTTGAAATTTATTTCTCATTTAGTAATTTCTTTTCTTTTTTTTAGATGATCAAATTATGTTTTTACTGTATGTGACAAAGGAAATACAAGAGTATGATCTGATTAAATGATAAATGTTTCCTCATGATTAAGTAAATATAGCAAGATTAGCTCTCAGTCAGTCAGCAAAGCATTTAACCATAGGCTTCATTAAATAGATGATTATATTTAGTCGGCTTAACCTGAAATTAATTCAAGCACATTTTTTGGTAGGAAAGATCTGCAATTTGCAAATAAGGCTCAAGTTCTCTCCTGGTGTAGAGATGTCAGTGCTCACTGAGAGGCAAAATGGATTATATTAGCCTGATTGGTCTTTTTCAGTTTTAATTCTTTTGTGAATTTCTTATAAAACCAGAGGGATTTATGTGGTTTTTTTTTTTGCTTGTAGCAAAAAAAGATTCAAGGTACTAACTTTATAATCTGTGTTTAGATGAGACTGTCACTTGAAGTCATTGGTCCTTAGGTCCTTGTTGTGCTTGGAGGGCAGGGCCGGCTCAGCTGCAGGCAGTGCTGTGGCTGGGGCACAGCCCCAGTGGTTTGGCATAGCAAAGTGGCACAACACCCGCTGGTTTGCCAGACTGAGGTGGGCTCAGGGCAGCTCAGAAATACGTAAGGAAAGAAGCATTTGGAATAAAAATCGTGAAGATGAGGATAGTAGAAAAGTAGGTTATGCTGTTTTTGTATATCACCCTCAGCTTCTGGCAGTATCTGAAAATCTGGACTTTTATTTAGATTAAAACTGTAAAAGTTAAGGGCTCATTTTGAGATCATGTCTAGCCAGTGGAATTACTTTTTTGAGGTTCACCTCCAAAGGTGGAGAGAGCACCTTTCACTAGCAGCTTCACAGTGAACAGGCTTAAATCCAGCATGAACTGCACCTTACACTCAGTGCTGACAAGCCATCAACATGAATATATTTTTATTGTTTATTCTGATGTAGCATATTTGTAAATATGCTTATTTCAGAAGTGATTTTGTAGAAATATTTTGAGCAAAGATGTCATTCTGTATACAGTGCTTTTCTTTTTACATTTTTTTGGTCTTACTGACCATGTGTACCTGCATACTAAAAACTCGTTTTTCTTCCTTTCTCTTCTGTTTATATGGAAAGAAACTACAGAAGACAGAGGTATGTGATAAAAGTAGTGGAATGTATTTTAGAAATCTCTTTTTCTTTTTCTTCTCTTTTGCACCTTTACATGCTACAAAGAAAATATTGAGATGGGTTATCATATTTTAAATAATATATGAAATCAGTATTCTATAATGCATTGCTTGAAATCCTGATTTCACTGGACTCAGTAGCAAAAACCAATGTTTTTTATACTTCTGCAATAGACTGTTTTATTTAGGAAAACAGGAGAATATTTCCAATAAGAGACACTGAAAATCAGCTATTAGAGATGAAAGTGTTCTTGGGAGGCTAAGAACTGAATAATTAATATTAACATGATGTTCAGGAGCCTTTTGAGACAAATTAATTCCTGGAGCTTCTTTGCAGTTAAAAATACAATGCAATTAAATTGCTGTGTGGACAAAGAGCCCGTTCTTTCCTGTCACCCTGTTCAATTGATTCATAGCTAAAACACAGTACTGGCTTCAGCACAAGGCTGAGCTTTCATCATTTCAAGCTTGTGGCCAAAAATAAACTGATTTCCTAGTGACTTGCATTTGGCTCCTGGAAGACCACCTCCCTTTGATCAGGCATCTGCCTGGCAGATGGGTCTTGTGGGAAGGAGTTGGCTCCTTCCTCTCCCAGTCCCCAACAGATAAGAGGATTTCTCAAATTCCCCTGTTTTCTGCCTGTATCGTTGCCTTCTTTGCTGCTTTGTTTGTTGCTGCTACCCGTTGTGCTTGTTCTCCATTTCCCTTTGTGTAGCGCTTTCTCTGCCAGGCTCAAAATATTTGTAAGAAGTGGACAAGCACTGTCAAGTGCTGGTTGTGTGCTCCAGGGTCAGATAGGCCACAGGTACAGTAACAAGTGAAAGGCAATGCTATTGAAATCAAGCCTTATGCAGAGGTTGGTGGGTAGGGAATGCCACCCAGCTCAAGGAAGGCAGACTTTAAGGGTTTGGTGCTACTTAGTGGAAGCTGGTGTATCTATAAATGGAGACTAACATGGCCATCAAGTCATTCTGCTGTGGATGTTTCAGTATTGGCTGAGGACAGAGCAGAAAAAACCTTGAAACAGACAGTGTCCACCCCATGTATGTTTGCATTGGAATATTAGAGAATGTAACTTCTTCAGATATCTTCATCTCCAGAAATTACTTTATGGCCAGAGAGCTGTGAGTGTGCAGCCAGTCTGCAGCTGTGTGTGAGAGCACAGGCAGAGGTGGAACCAACATAAGCTGAGGCTCCTGAAGGTAATGGAGGACTCCATCATTTTAAAGATGAGGAAGATATTTAGTAACTAAATCTCCTTCATGCATAAAATGAAGTTCTGTAGGCTGACTTCTAAATAGAATATTTTTGGGTATGTACAAGGAGTGCTTCATAAATGAAAAAACATACCCACCAGATTGTCCAGAAAGTCCCTTAAAAAAAAAAAAAAAAAAAAAAAAAAAAAAAAAGAAAAAAAACACACCAAAAAATTACTCTTTAAAAAACAATGAAAACAAGACATTATAATATTTTTAACATGGTATAAGGATTATACTTGGTACTAATAAGCAGGTAAAACAAGTAAACTGAAAATGGAGCTAATTAGCAAGGATTCTGCCAGCTGGGACAGTGTGGCTTTAAAGGACACAGCTACATGGGAGAAGTTATATCTGATGGACTAGCAAGAGAGCAGTTTGCTAGAGGAACCCTGGGGAGTGAGCTGCCCACACTGAGCCAACTCTGAGCATACCCATGTGCCAGCTGAGGAATGGGACAAGAACTGAAACTCCAGAGGTGTTAGAAGATGGAGAGTGGAAGTACTGCATTGCACCAATGATTTACGTGCCATATAGTTGTATACTTTACATACTTCAGAAGCATTAGAAATCCAGATATGGAATGGAGAGGTCCCAGTTTAGTTCTGTAGTTGGACACAATCTGAATATGAATCAACCTGATAAGTGTGCATCTTGATAGGAGCAGGCTGTAGCAAAAATATCTTGGAAAGTGTGAGGTTGAATAAATACTGATGCTGGTATTATGAAATAGTCAAGTGTCAAAGTAACTACTTGTACTTAGGAGGATTTTTAAACCTGGTGGAACTATAACTGGAATATTTGCATGGCAGGTATTCTCTGCTGGCAACGAATCTGCAAAAACTTTGCATAGCTTGATTAGAACCTTCTAATGCACAGATAGTTTTATCTTTTTTTGTACCATAACTGAGATTCTAGTTCTGGAAAAGGATAAACTATTACATTACTGTTGTGTGTCTTGGCAGATTGAGTCTACTACTGTGGTAATCAGGAGTAGCTGAGAATTTCTGACACTGGTGTTAGTTCCCTTACACAAGAATTCAGTTAAAAAACTGGAGGTTTTTATCCTCCTGAGATTTGAACAGCTCAACAGGTTGTTACTCTTGAATTCTATCATGATCACAGAAGTTAAATGGTAAGCATTTACCTCAGTAGGAAAAAAACATTCACTGTTCCTGAGCTCCTCTTTGATGCAGGCATGTATTCAGCTTAGGCTCAGTACTGGTGCTTTTTGCAACCAGCATGATGAGCTATTTGAAATGTCTGGACTGGTTATCCAGTGTCTCAGGAATCACTAACTGTTCACTTTGAAAATTGTGGTCAGAGTTAAAATTTTTCCTTGTTTTCTCTTTCCAAAACCACATAATCCACTCTTCTGCTCATAACAGAAGCGTGTGGGAGTTTTCTCTCAGATGGTTGAATTATTTATTAATAGCTTTATTGTGTGTGGTTAACAGGTTTTCTCAAGGATTGCTATCCTTGCCTCTTTCTTTTAAACTAATGTTCATGCATGTTTGTGTGCATTCTAGTTCCTGTCATGTTTTCTGACTCTACAATGTTTATTACACTTCAGACAAATACCCCAGGGAGATTATGTAAAAAAGCCGGGAGAGGCCGACTCTTTTTATAGCGACATGCCTCCTGGAGTCAGCACAAACTCTGCATCTAGTTCTAAGAAGAGGTCTGCTTTTCTGTCGCATTTTCAGATTTCTACCTGTTCCATCACCCATTATTCCATTAGTCAGAACATTTCATTGTTTTGCAGCAGGTTTGACTCTTTCTTCTTTCTTTGTGGAATGTTTGAAATAGCATCCTTTTTGCTTTGATTACTGATTTTTCTCCCATGTCCTAGTTGCTAATTAGTATGATTAGGCCATAAAAAAATTTTTGCATTGTAAACCAATTTTTGTTTAATAAAATTTTCATAACATCACTGCTTGAGAATTCATTTCAAGTAGACTGTAATAATAATTGTTGGCTAAAAAAAAAAAAAATTAAATAAAACGCCAAAAACTTTTTAAATCAGTGTCATGTAATCAAAGAAAAGGAACATTGTCTTTCTTCAATAATAGTTATAACATAAAATGTTAAATATAAATGTTATTTTTATATCTTTATTTGTCAGTGTCATTAATCCAGTGTGTTGACTTAGACTTCTGCTGTCTCATATTAAAGATGATAGTGATTGCATTTTATTCACTTACTAGACTAGTATACTAAATGGTCACTAAATGTTATCTTAGAAAATAATTCTACAAAGACTTTCTGCAGTTTTCTGCTTGCTGTTATTAGATTAGAGAGAATTAGGCTTTGCCGTAGATCAGATTGCACTAATTCCTTTATTGTTCCAGTTGCCTAAAAAACTCAACATTTTAAAAGGGAAGATTCATTTAAAAGCATTGAGAGCCATTTGTAATTGCTAAGATCACGATGCTCACTGTTTCTCTGCAGTAAAAGATTCTTTATATGAAAATCTCCAGCTAGCACTATAAAAGAATTTATGAGAAGCACTGCGTCCTAGAGGAACTGACAGTCATGAGCTGCTTCACAGGAAAACTGCAATTCTCAATTCTTGTCCCACTAAGCAGCCTACAACTGTGCAGTTGATGAAGCCATTTTCTTTGCTATTATTTCAGTTAAAGAGAAATGTATGGATGGGACACATATGTGGTGACATTTGATATTTTGCTATTTGCTTGATCTTATATACAACTTCATTCAGTTTATTCTAATGACTATCTTATTAGGAAAACTCCAGTAGTGTTTACTTAATTATATCTAATTTTTAAATTCAGCTTTTTAGATGTGTGGGTTGTTTTTTTTTTTCAGAAAGCAAGCATTAATCTTAAATGATGCACTGTTTGTGTTAGAGAATCTATTTTAAATTGGTTCAAATTTTGAAAGTCTTGGGAAAGCAAGTTTTCATAGCTTTGTCTATCAGGTCTAAATACCAGTTTAAAAAAAAAGTTATTTTTAAATACTGGAATTTAATGTGTTTCTTCTTTCATGCAGTATCTGTGTTTCTTTTCATACTTCATTTATTTCATGTGTCTCTCTTTATTATTTGTTCCAAAAAGCTAATGGTTTCTAAGGTCTGTCTGTACTAGAGAGTTTTGTTGTTCCCACCACCAGTTCAGGTATGTTGTGCCACTGTCAAGTCTGGAAAAGTAAGTCTGACAAATATTCCATTGACATTGTGATACAGCTGACATAGTCCTTCCATTTGAATTCCCAGAGTGCTACCTCCTACCTTCCAAGCTGGTTTTGATTTGCTCTGTGTGCTGGTATGGATGGCATCTCTTGGGAGATGTTAGAGCGGCTGGGCCATCAGCTGCCTGGGCTTCTCCATGCTGGAAAGCACTATGGAATATTAGCTGGTATTCAGAGGATGTTCAAGGATTAAGACATAACTTTATGATAACTCTTGCTATTATGAAATAGCAAACACCAAAACCATGATATAGCAAGACATTTCTGAACCTGAAAGTGACCTTGAAGAAGAGGAGGAAGTGTTTGAAAATCTGTCAGTGGATCTTTTGTTTCTCAGACCTTTCATGATGTGATTAAGTTTGAATTACTGAAACCCTCGGCTCACTTCAATGTGACCGTGATTAGCCTGAGCTTCTGAAAACTGAAGAGCATCTCTCAGATGCCCCCAAGGAAAGCAGAGACTGAAAAATGCGAGTACCAGACTTAAAAACTACAAAAATAGTTCCTTTAAGCAAGACTTTGTAATATGTAAGCCATCTATTGTGGATTTTTCAACTTCCTCTTCTCTTTTGGAAATAATTGTAGATCTCATGGCAAACAGCTGACAGCAGCTCTAGTTCAACAAGAGGCAGCCTGTTGCAAAACCCCACATGTTGGACATCGCCACATACATCTCTGGCTCTTAAAAGGAATGCAGGAGGAAAGAAAAAACAGTTTGCACCAAGCACCTAGATAAAAAGACTATTTTTGGCTTTGAGTTTAGCATTAGAATTATATACTGCAGCTGATAAAATATAAGCATTCAAAATTAGCAAAAATAATGCAGAGTTACCTCTCCCCTGGCACTACCAGCTCTGGGTGGGAGGATGCTCGTCACAAACTCCTGAGCCCCTGAGACTGGTAGCAGTGGGTTGAGGGAAGTTGTCCTGGCTTTCCTGCAGCAGCATAAGAAGGGAGTGGGCAGGTGGGATGTGCTTGACTGTGAGATGAAAAAGCCTCGAAATGAGCACAGTAGTAAGGGCATCTTTCATCTAGGAACTGAGGCAGAGCTGCAAATCCAAAGGAAATCTGGTCTGCGCCGGTGTTTGTGCATTCCACAGCAGAAGAGTGAGAAAGCAGTGCTGATGCCTGCCTCTTGAATGAGGGCTCATGGAACCACGGCAGGGACAGCTGCAAGGTGTAACTGCAGAGTTTAATCAGAAATCCTGGATGCTCTGCTAGTGCAGACAGACCTTAGGCTGTGTTTTGTCACTGGCCTCGGGAATGTGACCAAACCACTGAGCTAACATTGATGTGAGCCAATACCCTTAACAATAACCGCATCTGAGCCCTCCTATTCCAGGTCAAATGGATTATCTCATTCCTGGAGTGAAAGGATCCCAGACACAAAACATATTTCAGACATTTGTGAAAATGGGAGGCCTAGGAGTAATTCTTGGCAAGGTAAGTGTGAACCACTGTGCTGGCCAGAGTGGAAACCAGCCTCTGGACCACTGCTGCTCTGCTGAAAGGTTAGCTGATCTGAGGACAGCAGTATGACTCCTTAAAATTGTGCTAATTGTTATTAACTTGGAATTAGGATTTAGCAGCGCCCTACATAAGTGCCTTTTTTGCACAGTGCTTTGTCACAAAGACATTACACTTAATTTCTCCCTCCAGTGTGAGCTAAGATGAAAAAGAGAAAGAAATCTATTCACTATTGACAGCTTATGTGATTTTGTCAGGCAGTGTTAAGTGTTTTTCTTGAAGTGTAGTGATTTCATCAAATAACAGCTGAAATAATACATTTCCTCTGTACAGTTGCAGCAAAAAGTAGAGAAAGCTAACCTAAGTGTCTGAGATAATTCAAGAGGAACAGACCTGTGAGATTTAAATGGTTAAAATTAAGGTTAATGGTTTAAAGTTAAAGGTAGCAAATCTTTTGCTATGGATGCAAAAAGAATATACAGTTTGGCATGGGGCAGGTGAGTTTCAAGTTGTTTTACTGTCTTTGTCCTTTGATTTCTTTCAGGTAATATAGGAGGAAACAGAAAGAAAGTCAGAGGCAAAAGATTTAGGCCACGGTCTAATTCAACTGAGTAAGTCTGAATTTAAAAAAGCAAAGCCAAAAAGTAGAGTTTTCATATTTGTGTTTTGTAGATGGAAATTAAGAGTACTGAAAAGTAGACAGCTGCATTTTTGCTCTGTGGCCCATTCTGATTGCTGACTGATAATCTGGTAAATTGTTTGGCTAATGTATTTCAACCTCTTTTTATGTATTCTTTAAAAATTAACTATTAATTTTCTTTTTTTATGTAGGCTTCCTCACAGTCGTTCCCATAGCAATTCCCAATGATGGTGGCAGCCTGCACCATCACTGCAGGCTTTTGTCTACAGTAAACTGCCATTGCTGAGTGTATCCTGGTTCAATACTGAGTTTCTGATAACCTGACTGTTTCCTACCCTTGTCTTCACCTTGGGTTGAGCCATTGCAGAGTTAGAGATTTGTATCTCTGCATACCTTCCTGGAGGTTTTAGGAGAGATATCTATCTGCTTTGAGAGTACCTTGAAGTTTGCCATTGTAAGCCTGAAACAGCCAGTCTTGACTAAGCCCTGGGATAAATGGGTAATTAAAGTCTCTACCAAGTGACAGATCCCCAGACTTTTCCACTACAGCTGAGAGTTGCTGGCGTATTGATTTATTGATTACATTTCCTAAAGAGCCCATGTGCGCAATGCTTCCCACACAGGAAGAGCCTTTCTTATGTACTTAAGCCTGTTGGTTCAGGCCCCTCTTGTGAATGAGTGGTGAATGGCTGGAAACCTCTGGGCTTGTCAAAAGCACTGGCCTGCTCTTACAGCACTTACACCCCACATGAATGGCCCCTTCTTTGACATTGATGGCAGTGACAGTGTCCTTCCCCATATCATGACTACTAACTTTGCACCTTGATGGGCAAATGGGCTTGATACCAACCCTGCTGTAAGCTAATAATGCTAACTGCTCCCTGGGCCCCATTTTCTTTGGTTTGGGGATTTTGAGTTTGTTCTGAAACTTTTCTATCATCTACACTGCACTGTCTTGAGGTGAGTAGGCTCAAAAAGTGTTCCTAGAGAAAACCCTATGTTACAAATTACAGAAACAATACTTCGATGCACATTGCAATTATAACATTGCATGGTCAAAATGGCATCATGGAATCAGAAATTTTAGCCCTTGGAGGAGTTTATCTCAAGAGTCTCTGTGCTCTTTGTGCTGATAAACTCTGAAATGTTATTTTGCTCGTTTTCTTTTCTCCTTGCATGAGATAGTTTGATAAAATCAAAATTAGCCTGGCCAATCTGCCAAAAATGCAAATGAGATTTGCTCTGAGAACTTTGGAGCATTAAATAAGCAGGTAGAGAGAGATATTGTGAGTTGGAAATATTTTTCCCTGTATATTTGTTTCTCTTTTAAAGGTGCCCCTGAATTTCCACCTAATTCTCTGCTTTCCTTCTTGCTGCTTGTTACGGTGGTGTCTCAACCCAGCAGCAGCCCTGATGCTAGAGGGAGGAGGCTTGTACTTCCCAAGGGCCATGCAGCAACCTTTCAGGGATGAAGCACAGTGTCTGTGCTCCTGGGAGAGGCCTGCCAGGCAGGAAAATACTCTTTCCCCTTATTGGGTCTGTCCTGGACTGCACAGGCCTGAATGGCTTGTCCGAGTCTCCTTGGCAGTCCTGTCACCAGCTGGAGAGAGAGCTCCCACTGAATGATCCTCATGCTGTGTCAGTTCAGTGGGGAATGGAGAGAACTGCCAGGGCTATTAGACAGCAATTATCTCGCTGGTTAGAGGGACAGCTTGTTTTGCAAGGAGGGAAAATGGACTTAGAATGATCTAACTGTGACCAGCATTTAGTCATTTAGGAAAAAAAAAAAAAGCAACACCAGCTGCTTTGAGGATGCTGCAGAATACATGGAGGCTTTTCCCAGACCAATTTACCTTTCTACCTTGTCTGGAAAATACAGAATAATATTGAATCTGTTCTGAAGCAGTATTTATAAAGTCAGCTTGTGTGGCCCTTAGGAGTCCAATAAAGCATACTTGTTGATGTGGAAGAAAAAGGATAACAGTATTGGTCTCCTGTAATAAGCAGACTGTAGTTAACCATTATAAAATTGTGTTTATTAATGCCATACCTTGTGCAGAATTCAATTTTTTTAAGCAGGAGCACACTGGTGTGGTTGCCTTCAAATATACTTGTATGCATGGGTCTGCAGTAACTGCACACATTATGCACACGTTTTTTTTTGTATACAGCAAAGAATCAAATAGAACTGTGCCATTAATAATTTAAACAAAATATATTGAGGATTGAGCAAGGTTTGAAGTCTGCAGCCTTCATGAGCAGCACTGACAGGGAGTTGCAAACACTTTGGGCAGCTCCTGAAAAATGTCCTGCTCACACCTTTGTGCGAGCCTTGCAGCTAGCATACATGAACAAGGCTTATGCTAAGCATAGAGCTCTGAGAAGACTGCTAAAGATATTTTGAGACATTTTTAATTGGTTTTGGATGTTTGATAACAAATAATTATTCTTTACTAAAGGCAGATGGTTCATTACATGTGGAAGGAATGCCAACAAGCCAAATGCTTTTTCAGAACCATGGCTGATGAAATGCCCTGATAAATAGTTCTCTATTAAAATCAATTAGAATTATCCAGGAATTATGAGAGTTTTCTGAATAAGTTGACAGTTTAATTGGGAGCTTGTGTTAAAACAGGTCCCAGAACAGATAGCAATTTGGACCTTTGTTAATTTGCACTGCTGTTCCTATAAGCATTTGTCTTCCTCGTTGTTATAACTGGTACGAACGTCTTTGGTTTAGACTTTCTATTATATATTGTCTTTTTGCAGCCGGGTAACCCATGCATCTGAGTCTGGGCTTTCTCTCGCCCACCAAATCCCTGCCCAAGGCATAAGCCCAGGGGGTTCCGACCACCCCCAAACAGGGAGTCAGGATCACAGGTCAGTCTCACCTGCCCCTGCACTCTGGGCTGCCATTTTGTCCTGTGAAAAGTCCCTTCCCTAGTATCCAATAGTTTCACTGTGGCAAAACACCGTGACTGCTTGGAGGTGCTCCTGCTGATGCAGCGCTAGCTACCCTTCCTCCTCGCCAGCCTGAGGAGTATGAGTACTCTTGAGCCCAGGTCTTTTGCCTTGTTGCATGTTGCGCTACGAGCCGAATCGAGCTGTCCGTCTAGCTCTAGGCTTATGCGTAAGGACACCTTGTTTCAAAGCAGAATTTCTCACCCAAAGGAAATGTGGTTTCTGGCCATTGTTAATGAATGTGGCCAGAAAGATCAGCCTGAGGGCTTTCCAGTGGTATCATGTGGCGGTCTGCAGTAACTTGAGTTTAACCTTTTTGTAATAGATGGATTGAGGTAGTGAATGATGGTCTGTAATACACCCAGACCCAGGAAACCCTGCAACATGGTTGTGCAACAATTGCATGCTTTGATAGCACCTTACACTGTTTTCTAATACAGGAAGCCGGATTGGGAGTGTTTCATGGTTACCAAAAGACCCTTTCAGATGAAAAAAACGCAAGTTTAAAGTATTGCAGCGAGTGCAAGAAAATTACAATTAAAGCTAAAGCAGAAGTTTATTAGTTCCTGGTGACGCTGGCATCAGCCTCTTGCTTCACTTGTGGTTCACCTGGTTTGCTGCGCTACTGCTTTTGGTGTTTTCTTTCTCTAAGACACCAAGCTGGAAAGCATAAAGCACTCCCAATTCCTGATAGATAAGCGAGCTGAGGAAGCTACTGAGAAGCACTTGTGGCTGAGGGCGAGTACTTTCTGAGAGCTGTGGCTGTGCTTGCGCGGGGCGGGGAGGAGACGTTCCAGAGCAAAAAAGGAGCAAAAGAAGTTGAAAAAGTGCTGCTGCTTTTGTTGTCATCGTTGTTTGAAATATGGAGGGGGTTGAATGACATGATTTGGCCCAACTTTTATTCATCTGAGCAATAACTTGCAAGGCCTGTTCCCATGTGTGAGGTCACTGGAGTCACTCCCATAAATAAGGGTGGCAAGAACTGGACCAGAAGTATCAAAAATAACTTAAAGACAAATTTTCTTTCCAATTTTCCTTGGTTAAAATTTGTTTCCTATTTCATTGTGCTAGTTTCTGTTGTATAAAGATGGTGATCACAAAGAATCATTTGATTGTTGCCATTCATATGTGACAAGAACAAACTTTAAATTGGTCCAGGCAGACTCCTGTTTTCTGCATCTCTCTTTTTTGATGACATGACAGAAAGGGAGGAATCTGCTTATCTTGTTATTGGGAAAAATTTGTTACAAAAAAGTTTTCTTCTCCCTTGGTAATTTGTTGTCAGATAATTACACATTATCTTTATTTCATAATTTTCATGTAACTAATATGAGTATACAACTCAGACTTTTCTTCCTAAAAAAATGTGGTTTTGGTTTTAATACTGCTTCTGTAAAACATGAGATAATTCTGCAGCCTACCTCCATTAAAGCCAAACTCCATTAAATGAACTTTGAAAAATCAGAGTGTTGTTTGCCTGTAAGTGTAAAAATTGTCACTATAGTGGTAAAAACCTCAAACCTTTTAAAACGATGAGGCTGAAATTCATTCCTGTAAAAAGGGTCAAGCCCAAGATTCTGTGGTCTCTTAGGCATTACCTTGCAATTTATCTAGATGGGTGCAAAAGTGTGTCTTTGGTAAGCAAATGTCATGATTGAAGCCAAAATGCCCCTTCATCCTTATTTTGAGATGATGAGGGAGTTCAGACCATGAGCTTAATGCTGGCCCTCTGCATAGGAGTGAATTTTACCCTTAATGCATTAAATGAATGATGTATCCCAAAGAGTTTCCAGATTAATCAAACATATGAGTCTTGTTGTAGGTAGATTTTCTCATGCAGTTGTACACATTGCCTAGTCCTCACCCAAATCCATACTGATTTATTTGCCATATTCACTTGCATTTTGGGGATGAAGACATCCTTGCTAAGCTTGTGCTGTGTGTTCTCAGATTTTCTATTCTTGTTCTTCTGCTTTCTCTGTTCCTTCCATTGCTTTCTGCAGGTATTTA